TAAAAGAATCTCATTTTCTGACAGAGTGTATGACATGAAGTCTCAATTAGCTGTTTGTCACTGGAATGAAAATGTTGATAGGAGCTTCACTTCCAGTGGCATTCAAGGAATCCAGGTGCACAGAGATGTCGCAGGAAGAAGAATTACAAATCTGTCTCCTACAATTACAGGGGCAATGTATGGAGCAGATATTTAGGCAGATTATTTTGACCTGAACCAATTACTTCTTGCCAACTGATAGACAGATAACATATTTTCTCTTGCTGACACTTTTAATTGCTGCCTTGTTTATGACTTTACTGTCAACTATAAATTATCTCCAGTGTTACTTCATGGTAAAAGTCTTGAGAAAGCTGTGAGAAACATTATTACATCAAGACACAGTGAACATGGAAGTTGGAGAAGATAGACTGTCTCTCACATTGATGGTAACTCCTTTGCAGCGAGAAACCATTTACAGTTTATTTCATCACCACAACTGGGATATAATAGAAGTTCCTCACTCCGAGACAACAACACCAGTTACAACTGTGCCGGTTATTAATGACCCTGAGGATGACCCCGAGTTTATGATCCAACAGGGAGCTGATGCAGATGAGTGTCCTCATTGTTTATGCAAACCATGCATAACGGACTCTAGTAATAAGCAAATGTGGTGGGAAGAAGACATCCTTCAAGACAATGTTCATAATTCTGAACTAAGAAAGGGACATTATAAGAGATTTTGGACTATGCTTCTTCACCGAGGTGTATGGAGGGATGCACGTTATCACGAGACAGGCATTAGAAAGACATGTGAACAGACATCACTTGGTTTGGAATGGAACCCGACACAAACGTGACCTGATGCCTGATTGTGTTATAGTACTAGTTCGGACATGGCTACCAAATCCACCAAATAAACCATATTTGGGACATACCTGGAATTGATGCTACGACTATGTATTTGTTATGTTTGCATCGGTATGTGGAATACGCCCTTTCAATAATTGTGTTTCTTCATTGTTTATGTAGTATTATATTGATGTTATTGTTAATAATGTACTCTCAATTACCATAACAAGGTTATCTATTAATGCCATTGTTGTAAAGTTAGAAAGATCAAAAGAACTTTAACAATTGTGCTTATAGTTCATTTAAATGATGAAGTGAGCGCCTGTAACACATATTTGTTGGTTGTAAACAATATATATAAGAACCTATAAAGGTACTTTGCCGTGAATTAAAATGTGTAAATGAATAATGGATGATCTTTCGAGGAAACCTTGACATTTATGTTGGGCACCTCCTCCCTGTTGCGGATACTTGACACACTGAGAGTGAGTGAGTGTGTGTGTGTGTGTGTGTGTGTGTGTGTGACTGACTGACTGACTGACTGAGTGACTGAGTGAGTGAGTGTGTGTGTGTGTGTGTGTGTGTGTGTGTGTGTGTGGAGTATAACTGAAGTGCTGTGATTGAAACTTTTTGTGAATAATACTTTTATGAATAAGTAAAATTTCATATATTGTTATCAAATGATTCTGTCTTTTTTCTTTTTTCTTCTGAATTTGTAGAGAAAGTGTAGTTGGATTCAGGATTTACTACAAGGCACATGTTTATTCTTGTAGTAAATTCAAGGCTTAACCTTTGACCTCGCCAGGCTCCCACCAAGCAGCAAAACCGTTAGAGCTCTGTCACTCATGGGCAGATAAAATCTACACTGCTGAGGAGTAGCCAATGGGAGACTAATTAGAAACCCATGGGTTTTTTTTCAGTTTGCACTCCGGCCTTTAACCGCGGAAATGACGTCATCATTACTAGGAAAATGGCGACCGGCTAGTTCCTTTTTCATTTTGGGAAACAGGTGGAAGTCTGACGGGGCCAAATCGGGTGAATAAGGGGGATGGTTAATGAGTTGGAAGCCACAATCATGGATTGCTGACATGGCAACCACCGATTTGTGAACAGGAGCATTGTCTTGGTGGAACACGACTCCTTTAGTGAGCATTCCCCATCGCTTAGCTTTGATAGCTTCATGCAACTGTCTCAGTAGGTCAGCATAATATCTTCCATTGATAGTCTGGCCTTTTTCAAGATAGTCAATCCGCAGAATACCCTTGGAATCCATAAAGACTGAAGCCATCACCTTTCCAGCAGAAGGAACCGACTTGGCTTTTTGGGGGGCTGGTGATTCTGGATGCTTCCATTGTTTAGACTGAATTTTGGTTTCTGGTTGAAAGGGATGAATCCAGGTCTCATCCATGGTTACAAATCGGGCCAAAAAATCATTGGGATCTGCTTCAAAACGGCATAAATTATCACGGGATGTCAGGAATCTGACATGTTTCTGATCCGCTGTCAAGAGCTTTGGCACCCTTGCAGAAACTTTTGTAATTCCCAACTCGTTGGTGATAATGTGCTCAACCCTCTCATGAGAGATGCCCACAACACTGGCAATATGTCGAGTGGTCAATCGTCGATCAGCCATCACCATGACATGCACCCGGGTAATGTTTTCTGGAATGGTTGATGTTGAAGGCCTTCCTGGACGCGGGTCATTGTCAAGGCTCTCTCTGCCAAGCTTGAATTCCGCAGCCCACTTCTTTACAGTGGAAAAGGAAGGGGCATCATCCCCTAAAGTGGAGACCATGTCAGCATGTATCTGTGTTGGAGTTAGCCCTTTCAGTTGCAGGTACTTGATGACTGCCCTATAGCCAGTTTTGTCCATTTCTGGTGATTTCAATGAGTAGGTTCACAATATGGTCTGGTACAAAGACAATAATAACACTACAGTTGCAGTTCTTATGTATTGGAGAAAACACGCTCACAAGGTTTTGGTAGACAGAGCATGCCCTGGGGAGAGGGAAAAATCAAGGGGGGCGAAGCCCCCGCAGTTTTTCCCGACCCCCAGGGCATGCTCTGTCTACCAAAACCGAGGGAAAGTGTTTTTCCATGCTTATAAACCGAAAAAAGAAACTTAAAACAACATTTATCAACATTTTTATGTTTCGAACATACTTTCCATGAACCTTAGGAAACGCGTGTAAAATATCTGTTACTGTCGTACGGATCTTGAAAAGGACATTCTAAAAACCAGTGAGGCTTATCAACACCTCTGTAGCCTCGTGGTACACTCACTGGGCTACAGATATGAAGGTTGCGAGTTCGATCCTCGGGAATATAAAGAAAACATTTGTCATTTGATTTTACATTTCATTACATGTTACAATCTGAACAGAAGTTATATGAATAAAATACCCAGGACATTATATAAAATCCCTGGGATATTATATAAAATCCCAGGGACATTACAACGTCCCTGTTTATGAGATTTAACCCGACTGGAAAGTAAACCCTCACAGTAGGTTTTAATGCCTATAGAAAGAAGTCTCTTACTTAATAGCGATCCCAATGAATAGGTTTATAAGTCTATGATTCATTAAATGAATGTACTTGTTGGTGGCAAAAGTTTGTTTCAATCCGACTGAGATATCCCACTTAGGCTTAGAACTTTTCAGCCAGCCCTCGTAACTCCATAATTCCAGCCTAGTTCGCCCAGGATGGAAACTTGACTTTTAGAGTCAGTTAAATTCCTTGCCTTGGGAAGATAAGGGGGAGCGAGTTAAGTGCACATGACATCATCCGTGTCCTTTTTGAGCATGATACACGTTGGGTTGTTTGGATCTTATAGTAAAAAACCAACTACCCAAAGGGTCCTTCACCATTCTACCAATCTCAATGATTGTGCGGGTTGAAGATGAGGGTAACTCCTCTTGTGCCCTGTACTCGCACTACAAGTTTTCATCCGTCGCTCCAAGACTAGGCATTGTTCTCGGAAAACGGTTATTTAGAAGAATTCCTGTATCCAGTACGTCCACAACCGAAGTCAGACACAACACCATATCCCGATAGTTACTCGCATTCATCCTTAAGGCTTACGAGATCACTAACCTTGATCACAGAGTGAACCATCCTCTCGAGATCAGCGGTAGCCTCAACCATGACTCTACATAGCAATTGTCCTATTAGAGCAATCATGGAAGGATGTTTTTTGAGGTGCCACATGGTTTAGCCAGCCATTATCTTCGCCATTTGGCACTTGAAGACGTTCGTAGCTCTCTGGTAATAGCCCAGCAGGTAACCAACACCCGACGCAAATAATGAACTCTTCCTGTCTGGAGCCAGTCTTACCTGTCCTGCGCAGTGCTGACTATGACATGCCTAATGGGGGGGTGGGGGGAAGACTTTTCAAGCTTTTCAGCTTGGGCTTGGTAACACAGTAAGTTCTTTCTGTGATTTTCGCCATACGATTTCCCTGACAACGTGTCTTTTGAAGGGGTTATAATTATTGAGGTTTTTGACATCTGAAGGTATACTCATTGCTATACAGATGCATTAAGGAGTTAAAAATCCAAATTTTTTTACATTTGAATACTTATCCTGCATTATGAAGTCTAAGGACCAACCCATCGCAGACTTGCCTCCCCACAATAAGCTTCAGAAAAATCTTTTGTTAGCTTGTGTGATGAGCAAGATGTAACAACATTCACACATTCATTGTAAGGACTGAATGCCATGATAGAACTAGATTGTTTACAGAGACCTTGACCAAATCTCACTCACGCTTACATTGCCTTGACCTGTCAGCACTAATGAACAGGACATGAAGGATTGCCTGGTCCAGAACTATTCAGTGAACATGGTGAAAACCTGTCAGTCTGGACAATTACTTTTGGGAATGCCTTCATATATATACACACCCAGGAAGTTGATGGTAGACAGTCAGTAATGACAATATGCAGGGGCCAATCCATATTATACCTTTGCTGTATTTGTACAATAGGTTGATCTAGTTTTAATTGGCCCATTGTTGTTGATACTTATGCTGTGTTTCAGATAGGTTTGTTGTCTAGGAAACTTAAGCATAACTGTATAACTGTTAGATACATCACTTTCTTTATTTCATTTGTCACAAACTCATTGTCTTCACAGGCATGTTGAAATTAGGTTGTAATTTTCAGAGTTTGGCAGTTTGACTCATTCACAGTTAATGGAGAAGGTCCGAGGCCTGCAGAATCTGGCATATCAGCTTGGACATGCAGAAGGTTGGTCAAAGTAACATTTCTTTCATAGCAGAAGATTCTTGTTTAAAATAGAATGAAGCAAACAGTGTTGGGTTTATTGTTTTGAATCTGTAATTGAAGTTCATTTTAATGCTCTGCTGTCAGCAGGTTTCCACTCAATTTTTATGTTTTTATTTTTCTCCACAGCTCGAGAGATGACGAGAGGAAAGTTTTTAAATATACTTCAAAAACCCAAGCCAAGGAACTGAGGTGTAATTACAAACATTTTGCTACATTTGGCAGCGGGGGATTTGTCATCGATATGCTCCCATGGATTTGTCAGTCGCTGAAATAAACATGGAAGATCTGCTTGCCCAAGTAACATGAACAAGCCTTTAAAAGTGACAACATTCTAGCTTTCAGAAGACCGTTAACATAGTGATTACATAATTTGTTTGCACTTATTAAGTCATTTTGTCTTTACACCTTTCAAAAATAAGTCAAAATGGAGCATTTGGATATTCCACATGTTTAATATGTGTATGCACAGTCTCATAACAATCAGATCTTAGACCTCACTACCGCTACACCAAGGATCTGAGGACATTCCATTACAGGTTATGTCAGAACAACCTTTCGTGAACTTTGAACGACCAATGAAATAACTAACAGGATGTTGACATTAGCCAATAAAAGAGCACCTTTCCTGAGACATGGCACGAGCTTCAAAATGCCGACTTCCACTCCAGACTACACTTTAAAAATACTTTGAGAAAGTTCTTGATTTAAAATTTGAAAACTGAACAAAAGAAAATTCTGGAATGTCTAATAGGTGTTTGAAATTGTATGGCAGTACTTCTTGTGGGGTGTGAAAAAAACTATTCCATTTCAAATGTTTATCCCTAAGACCGGGCTAGCTTTTGGTATCAGTCATGCATCCTGTAACTGTCATAAGGAATACCCAGTGTTAAACCTTTTCAGGTTTTTGCATGATTAGAAAACACGTTCAGACTTTCACTTGTGCAATCTTGTAAACGACAAACTGATTGGTTGGATGAAAGGTAGTTCTGACCTGACCTGACCTCAGGTCTTTGTTTAGCGGTAGTGAGAAATTAGATTGGATTTTACTGAGATTTGTTTCTGCATGGCACAGGAAAAAGTAACATCGCCATGGCAAGCTTCTCATGTGTATCATGTTTAGATCATGCAGCCTTAGAAATTCATTTGATTATAGACCAGTCCAGATAAATGGTGTAAACCATATTTCAACACCACAATTGGATTTTCACTTCCCTCAGCACAATTTCGTAGTCTCTTTCTTGCAGAATAGCGGTAAATTTTTGAAGGCTATTGTGTGTGGGACAAACTGAACCAGCAACAATCTCACTAAAATCACATATTTTACCCTGATACAATGCATATGTTTTGTTTTTGATTAGAAGACCGCTGTCAGCAATATTCAAGGTATATGATGATGCGACACCTCTTTGTGTTTATATCTGAGGACCCTGCCATAAGAGGTTGCGTCAGATGCACCCGCAGCATCCTTTGACCTCTGTCTAAATGAAGGATGCATATGGTTCTTGAGCCAATCAGATATGTTTGTTTGAATTCTGTGCTCACTCGTGAGAATTTAGCTGCAACGTGAGTTTGCTGATCAGAATTTTCACCTGACATGACATGACATATAATGGAGTTGACCTCATATCCTGACAGAGAGGCATCACATTGAAGTAAAAGATCCGTTTTGAATAAGATTGTGCTAGCTGAGCAGTATCTGGCTTGATGTTAGTGGCAGTCTCAACCCATTCTGACTTGATCTAAAACCGACATTGGACATATGAATTATTTAGTCAGATTATGACTTAATTGTTTTGTAACCACTGAACATTGGCTCGGGCTAGAGCTAATTCTGTATGTATGTTTTTATGTTGGTCCTGTACAGTTGTATACAATATATAATGCAAGTCTAAAATGTGTGATTGTAAGAGCATATATTGTCCTTAATGAAGACTGTGAATTGGAAATTCTTGTAGATGTTTGGTTATCTTACATCATCAGATACACTTTATGGTTGCAAATGTTGACATAAATCTAAACTAGTGGCAATGTTTTTGACACTATTGTTATCGTTAAGATTCAGATCAGAGGATTTTGTAAGCCAGATATATGACTAGGTATGAACTTATTTATTGGAACTTGTACTTATTTAGCAAACATTGATTAAGAATGAAGTCATATTGTTTATTCACAGTGGTGCTCACTGTGATGTGTATAATTATGGCAATAAAAATATTACCAACTACCCTGTGTATCTATATAGGTCATTGAACATGACACTAGAGGTGTTGCAAAAACAGAAGCAGCCCTGTCAAGGCCATTTCTTCAAACCCCAAAGTCTTTATGTACCACCATGTACTTACAGTCCCACAAACATTACTTCCAGACCTTGACTGTAATCAAGACAAGTCTGGAGCCACAGTAGCATTTCACGGCTGATTATGTTCTATGCCTAACTGTGTAGTATATCAGCTGCCACAGCAACCTGTAAATAATAGATCTGCTGGTGCTGTCAGTGTCATGCTTTGTCACTGGTTTGCCTGGTCCAGACTCCATTATATGCAGTCCGCAGCATTAAAAGAATATTCTCATTGACGACTCTCACCCTTGCTTGCACACAGTGTTAGACAAGAAGTTATCAATTCCTTCAAAAGATTAGATAGTACCTTTAATGCACAAGTAGGAAGCTTTGATATAGGAGACATATTTCAGAAAGCACTGGTATCTGGTCATGCTGATGTGAAACAAATTGTAATTACAGTATATGAATAACACAAGAAATGTCAGTATGATTAAGAATTGGTGTTGCACATCTTGCATACATATGTTCAGTGAACAACTAGAGTATTGCTCGTCTGGAGTCACAGCACCAATAAATAGAACCACAGCTTAGAATGCAACAGTTCTATCGTAAGGTGCATGAGTCAGTTCAACTTTTTGTAGTCAGTATTTCACCCACATTATGGCTTGTCGACTTGTGGTAGTTCTACCTAAAACCAAGGATCGTAATCAGGGCACATCTGGGATTCGAACCAACATCCTGGTATGGCTAAAAGACGGCACATCATGTCACTCGGGCAATCAAAATAACGACAGCTATATTGACAGTAGAATACACAAGGATACACAAGGCCTTGTCAAAAGGCTATTTATTTATAAATTATATTTATAATGAAATACTTCCTCTTCAAGGAATAATATGCTCCAAAAGAGTAAACTAAAACACCTGTAAAATACTATGTCTTGTTTAATATGGAGAAAGTTGTATATTATTCATTTTTGCTTACTTTGGAAATAAATATTACTTCACTTGATGTACAGACATTTCAAATTGAGTACACAGCAACACCCCTAAACTGTAAACATATTTATTATTTTTCAACATTTATGATACAAGATGTTGGTAATTTTTCATAGCAGTCATTTTATACTTGTAATCAAACAGCTGTGAGACAGCCATGACATCACTCCAGATATATGAATGTCATCAAATTTGTGACTGAAACCAAACGTGAGTCCCATTTAAAAATGGTTTTCAATTAATCAGATTGGGGACACAAACTCATTATTTACATTTACATTTGCAAGGGAAGTAACTCTAGTTACAGGGATGATAAAGAATAACATGATACAAGCCAGTACACGATGGACAATCTTCAGAACACTATGCATTTGAGTTTATGAACACAGAACGTTTAATATGTACAATAATGTGAATTGTGCATGATTCATACAATAGGAAGATGATACAACTCTCTCATCATTGTCCTTTGGGCAATAAAAGTGTTTGCAGGTGAATATCATCATGTATGCTGTCTGTAGCAATATTCTAGTACCATCTCTGTTGGTGAAGCATAGGCTCAACACATTGTACATCTAGCTAGCCCACTGCTCCTGTCACACAGTGTGTTGATAGAGGAGGCCACAGTGAAGATGTTTCTTGTCAGGATGTATTTCTTGTTAGGCTATCAAGAATAATATTTCCTGAAACAGATGTTTCATAGAACGATAAATATGAGGTGAAAGCAAGACAACTGCAAAAAATATACTATTAAACAACTTCATTTCACTGATGATTTGAACTACCATGCTGTACCAATATTTATTTATTTATTTATTTTTTTAATGGATGAGTTACGATTCATCGTAAAGCAGAATCTAAGAGACATCATCTTAAAATTTGAAAATAATATGTCCAATGGTTTCTGAGGAGAAGGGGATGCCGCAATAGCTGTATTCCTCACAAGAATGAGCAGCTACAGCAGACATTTTGAATTTGTCAATAACCATGAACATCAGATAAGAAGAAGTAGTTTTAAGCTTCAGTGCAAAAGCATGGATGGATAGACTGACACTGGAAGATCATAACAAGTTTACATTGGTAAACCAGGTGAAGGTGAGCTTAAAGAGGTCTATCTCCTCATTGAATTTTAGCAAACTGATACACAAATTGAAATACTCACATCATCATCTGCATCCTGACTCTTTTTTCTCCTTCCTGGAATGGAATATGGAGAACTGACCCCTTCGACAACCATTTTTGGACCCATCACATGGGATGATTGCATCAAATCTTGGTCCTCCTTGGCAGCATGTCTGGGAGAACTATTAGTTTTCCTCAACTTTTTCTTCACATGGGGAAACCTTTTTACACCATTTTTCAGAAGTTCAATATTTTTCCACATTTTTTTAGGTTGAATATCAACAGCAGGCTCTTCATCTGAATATTTTACTTCAGCAACACCTTTGCTGGCAAGGGGGGGTAACTCTTCCATGTTTGCCCTGGATCGACTTTTTTTCGAACTAATGACATCAGTTCTTCGGCGTTTTTGGACACATACTTTTGATACACCAGAGTCATGGGAATCACCAGAATCAGAATGATTGGAAACATTAGAAATGATATTTCGAGAGGTATTTGACTGGTATGCATAATGATGTTTAGTGGATTTCCTCTCCCCATCTCTCATCCTCTTCTCTCCATGATTTCCTCGTATTTCTTCTGGTAATTGTTCCATTATTGTAGGAGCTACATCCTGACTAGATTTCCGCTTTCCCTTTCCTTGCATAGCGACTCTTTTTGTCAAAGATTTTGTCTTCATACTTGACAAGGTGCTTTTAGGATTTTTTGTCGATCCACCTACATAAGGAGTATTGAAACCTTTCCTGCAAGGACTTTTAAGATCATCTGTATCTATAGGTTTGGATCCCCTCATGGTCTTACTAACCTGACGTTTTGTTCCTCTTACAAAGGTCTTATTCCATAGCTTTGATCCTCTTTGACTAATATCCTCAGTATGCAATAACACATCCTGGAATGACAACTTATTCTTTTTAGCAAATTTTAGTTTCCGTTTTGCATGAGATTTTTTCCTTCCTATCCTTGTTGGTTTCTGCATCACAACATGGTCCTCCTGCACTGAGGCTTCAAAGCTACATGGTGACACATTAAACATGTCTTCTGATTGGACATGGGCTTGTTCCTCTTCTTGAGATGCAGCTGCAGGTTTGTGGGACATCTGCCTATCCGTTGTACACCGATCTGCCTCTTCAGTCAGTCCCACCTCCAGCTTGTGGCCACGGTGGATCTGAGGCATGGCACAGTTATTTGAATTTATTCCAGTTTGTTCCATAACAACTTTGTAATCATTATCAATTGAGTGATAATGATGTTTAGGTTGATTCACTTTCGTCCCCTGATCATGTTTATCATTACTCTCATAATCATCATCACTCTCAAGACCATTCTCATCTGTTACATGGTGGTTTTCAGAACTTGGATGTCCTATCATTTCAGACAAGTTATATCTTGAAGCAATTCCAAAACAAGCAGGATCTGACAAGCTGCCTCCTCTTTTCTCCAACTTATCAACTTTTCCAGAACCTGAGGAACATGGTTTACACTTGTCTGCATCAATGCATTGTGACGAAGAGTTGCTTCTTAACTGCTTGAAGTTTATGTTTCCACTGAATTCTAACTCCCTGTCATCTGGAATATCTCTGCCTCTTTCGAGTCTTTCTTTTCTGTTGCTACCCTGAGAAATGGGGCATATAAAAGGTTCCGTTTGAACAGTAGAACTCCTTTGTACAGTGGAGTCTTTTACTTTTAATGCCATTTGTTTTGACTTCTCTGATGACGATAGACAACCATTTGTCTGCTTAACTGAGTATTTTCTAGCAGGCATACTAACCACTTGTTCAACGTTAGTTCTCTGTTGCCTGGAATGTGGTGCTTCACTGGGTATTAAGACACTCTTATGTTCTTCTACAACACTCATAACAACCTCTTCTCCATCTGACGACGCAGAGTGATGCACATCCTCATCCTGAACATCAGGAGCATCTAAGGAGGACCCATATCCCATCTCCCGCTGTGCGTGACTCTTGTAAGCTCCTACATCCGCATCCTCATCAACGAAAGAAAACTGAACCCACCTATCTTTACTTTTCTCAACACTAGCCTGACTGAATTCAGTGTCTTTTGATGTTACAACACCACGTTTATGATCTTCAAATATCTTCCTCCACCTTTCATCATCATCTTTCTTCTTCTCCACCACACTCCTCTGGAGGTTGTAACCCTGATCAATTCCTTGAATCCTCCTTTTCTTCTCACCATGTGTCCTCTTGTCAACAGTTCTCCAATTTCTTTCTCCATCTACATGTTTCACCATTGTTATTTTCTCAGCACTGACATTCACTTGTTCCCCAGAACAAGGACCCTGGTTGTGTTCAACAATATCCATATTCCTCATGGTTACCCTAACACTTTTTCTTCTGCAGAACTCTGCCATTGCCTCACACTCCATTGTAGTCTCCATCATCATCCTCTTTGCATCCTCCCCTGATAAATCCTCATCAGACAGCTCACAGCTCCTCACAGCTTCACTATCAGCATTCAACAACCTCCTTCTGTCCCCTCTTTGTGAATTGACCTTGTTCGTCTGGGTCTTTCCCCCTAGAAGCACTGTCCTCTTGAACATCACTTTCTTTGCTTTCTCCTCTGATAAATCCTCATCAGACAGTTCACAGCTCCTCACAGCTTCACTATCAGCATTCAAAAGCCTTCTTCTGTCCCCTCGTCCTAAATTGAACTTGTTCTTCTGGGTCTTCCCCCTTGGAGACACTGTTGTCTTGAACATCATCTGCCTTGCTTTATCCCCTGATAATTCTTCATCAGACGGCTCCCAGCTCCTCCCAGCTTCAGTATCAGCATTCAACAACCTCCTTCTGTCCCCTCTTCCTAAATTGACCTTATTTCTCTGGGTCTTCCCCATTCTTGGAGACACCGTCTTCCTGTACATTACTTTTCTTGCTTCCTCCTCTGATAAATCCTCATCAGACAGCTCCCAGCTCCTCCCAGTATCCTCTTCAGTATCAGCTTTCAACAACCTGCTTCTGTCCCCTCTTCCCATACCAACCTTGTTCCTCTGGGACTTCCCTCCTCTCAAAGGCACTGTCGTCTCAAACATCATCTGCTTTGCTTCCTCCCCTGATAATTGCTCATCAGCCTCAGTATGAGCATTCTCAAAGAACAACATCCTCCTATCCTCCTTTTCCAAACCAGCCATGTTACTCTGGTTCTTGCCTCTTTGAGGAATTTTCAATCTAGTTTCAAGTCTACTTTTCCTTGGGGACAGAATGAAGTCCTCATCTACTCCAGCTGGATGTGTCAGTCGGAGCCTAGAGGATGCATTCCTTTCTGGAAATGCAGTTTCATATTTGTATGTATCAGATTTCATGATTTCATTGTCATCAGACTTTGGTCCAATGATCTCATGGCTCCTCATATCATCTTCCTCATTTGGTGAAACAGTGAATCTGGAAATTTTAGATTTGGGGGACAATATTATCTCCATTTTATTTTTGTTACTCTTATCAGACTTTTGGCCTCTTAAAGTTTCACAGTTATTACCAGCAATTTTTCTGTGTCCATCAATGTTTTCACATTTGTCCTCTACTAATAATGTTCCTGATGTAACCACAGCTGGAGAGGATCTTGTTTTGCCATCATTCACCAGGTGTGTCTCCAATTTCTCCATCTTATACTGATCATGACTTGAGGTGTCCCTTTTTGGATACTGTGGTGAGGACACAATATGACATGTTTTTAAATCTTCATTGACATCATCTCTATCCCTATCCAGAAAAGAACACTCTCTTTCATCTTCAAACATAATTCCAATTCTATCTTTCACATCAGCTTCATGGAAATTTGTTTCTTCCTCAAACCTCTTACTCCCCTCATGTTTGTCTCCTTCCATTATCTTCCTCCATCTTTCATCTTCTAATTGCTTCCTCTTCATCTTCCTCTGAATCTGTCCTGGACTCTGTTTAACTGTTTTCCATTCAGTTACTTCCCCTCCCAAGTCTTGCAGCTGCTGATGTCGACCAGCGAAGATATCTCTGGTTTGCTGCTGTGATCTCCTAAGGTCTTCACTGAAGTTAGTTTCAGAGATGTGAGATTTGGAGGATGAACATCTTGATCTCTTTGGAGACATCTCTACACTCTGTCCTTTTCTAGTTGAAACACGGGACTGATTAAGCTTCATACCTGATTCCTGTTCTCTTAATGCTGAATGTGATGGAGATTGGTATTGTTTCACAAGGACCTTAACAGGGCACTGGAGACTATTTCTTTCTGTTCTTCCCTCACTGAGTGGGTTATCCCAATCAGTTCTAGGGAGAGTATCAGGGTGTTTTGTACTTGTTGACACAACATTTCTTCCACTTACAATCCTAACAGTTTGAGAGTTGTAGCTGATATAGCTCTGACTGTGTCTATCACTTTGACTCATTGGTGACCTTGATCTTGTTTGACCTCTAGCATGTTTAGGCGACCGTGACCTTGTTTGAGTCCTTGTTTGTTGCGGTGGGAACAGGTTTTTGGACAAATCAAATGCTGGCTTTCTCACGCATCTTTTGGCATATTCATTACTGTCCTCAGATTTTACCATATCCATCCTTTCATAGAATCCTGAATCATTTCTTTCTTGACATTCATGTAATTGCTTTCTCGGTGGCGAGAAATTAGTAGAGCTCCAATCTGTATGACCTCTTTCTTCTTGACCACCCTTTTGACCTTTTGAATGATGATCTGTATCCACCTCCTGCTTATATGGCTGGACCTCCGCCACTCTGGTGTCATGTCGACCATGATCACAAATCTTTCTGTCAGTTCCAATAACAAGTAGATCATAAGTTGAAGGATTCTGACGTTTAACCTCTGATGAAATCCTGACACCATGTCTATACACCTTGGAGTTTAACAAAATAGAAGTTGGCAGTCTCTCTGGAAAAAATAAAATAACTTGTGTCAGGTTCCAGAACACTATACATACACTATGCTGCTTGGAAATGTATTTCAGTGATATTGCAACTTGTAAGCTTAAAGGGGCACTGATCTAACGCAATTCCCCGGGACTTGTTGTTGCCTTTGTTATTGTTTTTTCCCAGTATATACCCGGATTTATAGCAGAAATCTAGACTAGTTCGCGACCTCTGCTGCGCCATTCGTAAGCGCATTAGTCACATTTATGGGTAGTAATAAGGGCGTATGGTCACATTGATCAACAAAATGAAATACAGTTTTCGAGATAATAAGGAAATGTAGGTATCTTTGTGAGTAGCATCGGTAATGGTGACGAAGTTTTGATAAGTCACTTGCTTGGTAATTTTGCGATTTTCGTTTACACTATTTTGACTTGCAACACAAAGTATATATTTCACCTGAGCATATGCTTTTTTTATAGTGTGTATACTTTTTTACTGTCAAATGTGTAACAAATTTATTAAACGTCTAAATATTCAGTTATTTTACAAAGTGACTGAAAAACATTTCCATCTGTATTATTATGACAACGAATTCCAAACATTTTGATGTTTAATGTCATCACCAAGAGACTGAAAATGTAACGTTGAAAAGTACATTTCTAAGTTGTTTGGCTTTTAATCCTACATAATAATCTGTTGTGATGTTTGTAGGCCCTTTTGATCGTCTTGATCAATCTGGACAGATTTTTTAGTCAAAATGACTGAAATATTTACACATTTTATAAATTGCCTGAGAGAATCACATTTTACAAATTGACGGTAATATATACACGCTTACAAAGGAAAAGACCTGTGACAACAACGTCTATCGCGCATTGAAGAATTTCCCAACCAAGACGTAGAGAAACAAGAACGAATCGGTTCAAATGAAGGAAAACAAAATGCAGATATCATAATTACAACCTACCAAATTTATGTGTATAAGTTTTAGGCATGTTCGAGGAATGTATCCGTGAATATCCACACAAAGGAACAATATCCCACTCATCTGCAGCTGTACAAAGAAACTTATTTGATGTCACGTGTCTCAGTAACAATCAAATATTTTAAAAGATATATATCGTTTCAGGATATTATAACCCATGTTCGTTTCTCAACTGATCGCTTGGATTGTTTCAGGTGTTTTACATAGGTGTCAAGTCTCAATGGTCGGCTGAGAAAGCCCACGTGACAACTATTTTCAGCGTCCACGGTTCCTAAAAATTCCATTGAGTGATAGATAACAATGATCAATCAATCAACGTATTATCAGTTCACCCTTTGAACAAAGTATGTTGTTTTTACATCGGCACTTGGCGCCATGATATGAGTGTATTCCCTTTGTTTTAGTAAACCTAGACATGTAAACACTCACTCTTGACATATCCACTGTGCAAGATAACAGTGATTAATCAATCAACGTATTTTCTGTTAATCCTTTGATGACTAGGAACGACCGTTGATTTACAAAAAGAAGTAAATCAAGTGATCATTCATCTCTTGCTGGGCTGCCACGTGCATATTACATAACACACATTTCACCTCACTTCAAACATGGATTTAGATTGAATAATTACCCCAGACACAATAAATGCCAAATGGGAACCTTTGTCAGGTAATATAAGTGGTGCTACCACTAATTGTACCTGTAATAAATTCATTAACTGAGCATCAAGTGAATGACGACAAATACACAAGTGTAGGGTTATACGAGAAAACGTGGATGACAACAAGGGAGTAGTAATCGTATTATCAACGCAAGCCGAAATCCGAAAATGCTTTCACTGCATGGATACTATTTTTAGTATTAAACTATAACCATCTGGGGTATTTCCAAATGACGACGTCCGATGAGCTCCCTTGTTCTTTTTGTCTGTTTGTTTAGGCTGAAGAAATGAATTAACATGCGCCCTTTGTCGAAATCTTTATAGATCACAGTTAACCAATCAGTGTTCAAAAATGCGTAAAACAAATATTGCCTCCAGCCTCCAAGTTTATTTAGCTGTCCTTGCAGACGGTACCCCAGTCTCTGGTCACGCTCAGTTGCGTTGCGTATCATCCGGGTACTCACAGGGGAAAAACAATACAAAGGCAACAACCAGTCCGTTAGATCAGTGCCCCTTTAATGTATGTTTGTTGTTTAACACCCCACTCATCAATATTCCATCTATATGATGGAGGTCTGTAAATAATCCAACCTGGACCAGTCAATCCAGTGATTGACATCATGAGTGACAATCTACGCAATTGGGATATAACATGCATCAACAAAGTCAGCGAGCCTTATCAACCAATCCGACAAGGAGGAAAGCCCAATGTGATTGTGTTTGTACATGCTAATCATAGATATGGTGTTGACATGACATTCACAAGGATCAGGGTAAATAAGGGTCTAGCACCTGTTATATAACCTACTTTTAAAGGAAGCTGACACAGAAATCCTGTGATATACGACTATCACTTACTTGCTGATGGAGGTAGGAGGAAGCTGACACACAGCTCCTGTGATATACCACTATAACTTACTTGCTGATGGAGGTAGGAGGAAGCTGACACACAGCCCCTGTGATATACGACTATAACCTACTTGCTGATGGAGGTAGGAGGAAGCTGACGCACAGCTCCTGTGATATACGACTATCACTTACTTGTTGATGGAGGTAGGAGGAAGCTGACACAGCCCCTGTGATATACAACTATAACTTACTTGTTGATGGAGGTAGGAGGAAGCTGACACACAGCCCCTGTGATATACAACTATAACTTACATGTTGATGAAGGTAGGAGGAAGCTGACACACAGCTCCTGTGATATACAACTATAACTTACTTGTTGATGGAGGTAGGAGGAAGCTGACACACAGCCCCTGTGATATACAACTATAACTTACATGTTGATGGAGGTAGGAGGAAGCTGACACACAGCCCCTGTGATATACAACTATAACCTACTTGTTGATGGAGGTAGGAGGAAGCTGACACACAGCCCCTGTGATATACGACTATAACCTACTTGCTGATGGAGGTAGGAGGAAGCTGACGCACAGCTCCTGTGATATACGACTATCACTTACTTGTTGATGGAGGTAGGAGGAAGCTGACACAGCCCCTGTGATATACAACTATAACTTACTTGTTGATGGAGGTAGGAGGAAGCTGACACACAGCCCCTGTGATATACAACTATAACTTACATGTTGATGAAGGTAGGAGGAAGCTGACACACAGCTCCTGTGATATACAACTATAACTTACTTGTTGATGGAGGTAGGAGGAAGCTGACACACAGCCCCTGTGATATACAACTATAACTTACATGTTGATGGAGGTAGGAGGAAGCTGACACACAGCCCCTGTGATATACAACTATAACTTACTTGTTGATGGAGGTAGGAGGAAGCTGACACACAGCCCCTGTGATATACAACTATAACCTACTTGTTGATGGAGGTAGGAGGAAGCTGACACACAGCTCCTGGGCCAGGAAGGGGTGCTGGGAAGCTTCTGATGGATTCAGCCTCTCATCTGCAGAACATGACAATATCTGTTCAGCATCTTACTGCAGAGACAAGTCAACAAAGAACAACAGAAGAACATATCCTTCTTAATGACGTCACTCAAAACATGTTCAGTAGGAAATCTCAGCACTTATTAATGTATTTACTCTGACAGTCAGTGTAGATTTATTGTACTTAAAACCCCATTTCCTTCACTGCAAATAATGACTGACTTTTATTTCCAGTTGTGCTCACAATGTCTGGTTATTAGCTTTCATGTTTACATACTTCTAAAACAATGTGTCTGATTCATTTCATGAAGTGTACCAATCGTAGTTGAGGTTACAATCAATAAAAACACATTTAACCATGTTGTTACTAGACCCCTGATTATTAATTATTTATGATGCTAATGATCTTTAAGTGGACACAAGAAAAGAAAAGGAGAGAGAAAAGAAAGAGCATGACCGTAATTTAGACAAACATTGACGAGAGGCAGTTTCAGACCAAGTGGACATTTGAGATTCTGTGTCTGATTACTCCAACAGCATGTACATCACTATTTGTAGGCCATGTTATCACCATTTACCCCAAGTACACATCCCAGCATCACATGAGAAATACAAAACTGCCCCTTTTGTTGTTGAGTGCAAAAAGGAGCCACAAAAGGACAACAGATTTTCAATACACCCAAGAAATGCAGCCAGGCGAATTTACAAAAGCAACTTTCAAGATGGGCAAGTTACAGTTATGGACGACCAGCATATTAGACATTGCTTTAAAGTGTTCACCTTGGGGATTCCAACCAAAGTACTGCTAGGTCTCCAGACAGCCAATTGTAGGAGTCAACTAAGATGTCCATTCCCTGGTTACAATGTGTGACCTAGCCGACTGTGTCATCACACCCATTGATGAATGCTTATGCAAAAACATCCTTCCATGATTGCCCTAACAGAACAATTGCTGTGTAGAGCAATGGTTCAGGCTACGACGTGAGGGTTGTTTGCTTTCAGTGGATCAAGGTTACCACCCACTTAACCCCCAGGATGACTGTGTAACTAACTTCGGTCGTGGATGGGAGGGATACTGGAATGAATAACTGATTCTGCAAGCAATGGATGAAGAGGAGTTCATCCTTATCTTTGCACACACACACCTACCCCCCCCCCCCCCCCCCCCCAAACAATTGTCACGATTGGTGTGATGGTGAAGGAACAATCGGACTAGGCTTGTAGTTGAAAACCAAGCTCAAGGTGTACTGCACCCTGCATACCATGCTCAAAACCGACATGGGTGATGTCAAGCTCATGTAAATCACTCACCTACATCGCATTGGCTCAAGCCAAGAGAAAAACTGTTTTCTTGGTGAGGTCATAAAATGAGGATACGTTGAGGGGCTTGAACTACCACATTCAAATCCAATGCAGGGGAACGGAATTTGGCCTTCTTATCCTGTAATTCCGGAATCTTTGTCATTTTGCAATTTTCCTGGAACAGCCAACACTGAGTTAAGCAAAACCAAATACGTTGTAATGGTGCTACCCTTCAAGTGTCTTTTGGTATGCAAGTGTAGGAGGTATTCAGCTAAGAATTCAGGTGACACTGTCGTGGGATCTTGATTCTTTGCCTTATAAAAAGGTTTCAAATAATCACCACTTGTCACCATATAACCCTCTGGTAGAGGGACAATGTGCCAAAAGCAATGGCCTTAGCTGCTAGCGCCAAATAGCCCTTGACACTTAACGTCTTTTTAAGACAAACCAAGCGTGCAGATGAAATCTGCCTGGAATTGCGTGAGGTAGTTTGCTGTGAGGGTGGATGAGTAGGTTTGACCACTCTGGGAGGGGTAGCAGATCATCTTCTGCAAGATTTTTTTAGGTCGACGAATCACCTCCTCGCCGGCCACCAAGGCGCGACCAAACTTAGAGCAAGGCTCTTGTATCTTTGATCTTTGGTATCACACAAGGCAGTAATACAGGAGGCCAAAAAGCGGAGAAGGGAGAGAGTGCATTGTTTCTTGATTGTGCAGGCACCACACCACCATGCTGTTGTCGGTGGATATTGCGAGATGGGTGGACTGTAGCTGCTCCTGCCAATGTGAGACGGCCATTATCAGTGCTCCCAACTCTAGATTGTTTATATGACAAGGACGTTGTGCGCCTGACTCCGCACAGCCCTGAGGCTGTCTGGCCCTGGATATGAGCACCCCACCCCATGCAGGGAGGATTCTATGAACAGGTGTAAGTTCAGGACTAGCTCAGATAAGGAGACGCCTTCTAAGACGACCAATCCATCATCCACCAGTTGAGATGTGTCCTTAGGTGAGATGGTAGAGTGATGACTGCATACAGGTCTTGGCGCCTGAAGTGAGCAAACCCTGCAATACTTGCCACTCGCAAGAATGTATGTGGGTGTTGAAGAGCGGGTAGCAGATTGTTATCTACAAGACTGTAAGAGTTGAGAAATCAACTACGGGAGGGCTTCTAGGAAAATAGTCTTTGTAGGCGTACCACTACCAGCTCCCATGTAGACTAAATAAAAGTCCCCATCAACCGATGGCCAAAGTATGCTGCTGCACAGGTGCTCCTGTTCTAATATCGAGTTGACGATGAAGGGAGGTGCCTCGTACTCAATGTGTGCCTCGATACTGCGCAGCTTGACACCAGCGGTCTACTGAAGTAGATGACTCGGTCACATTGATGTACAGCGACAGGCGTATAACCGAAAGTTTGCAGCATTGTGTACCAGTAAGCATGCAAACCAATCTGGAACAATGACCCTGCGCCGCTTCCATTAGGTTAGTTGACCTTATTCTGGTGTTTACAGTCCAAGTTCTAGACCCGTGATATTTAAATCACCATGCGCATTAACCTCGAATTCCGCAATATGCCAGAGGCAAGGTATGAGGTCCACACAACGGACAATCCATTGTGAACTGTGTGGTAAACAGACAAGTCTGTGTAGACGTGTGACTTGGCCGATGCAGGTTCAAATTGATCTCCATGAAATTTGTGATGCCTGGCGCTGACCTGTGTACGATGACCCCAACAGGTGGGTACCCGGTAGCATATGACGATTCTGTCACATGTCTAACCAATCTTGAAAGTGTGAAGCTCTTCAAGCTTGGTACAGCTCATGTCTATCAGGCACCACATGAAACTAATTCAACGAAAGTACTAAAGCCTCTCCGTGGAATTGTTTAGCTAACGTTGAGTGTACACCGCTAGACTGGAGAATTGACGGAGACTTTCACAGATCCATCAGCATGAGGCCAGGCGCTGCTGAAGGTTGAGGAAAAATCAGACCTCCGTTGTATGCAGAAAATTTAAAGGTGGTTTAGACGATAGGCTTTGGTCCCGATCAGGTCCTGTTCTTAAGTATGGTCTGCTCGGAAGAGCCAGTCATCCTCTGAGGGTCCTTCTACCAAACTTAGTGTCTGGTCAGCCACTTCATTTCTATGGCACGAATAGGAAAGTCATCTTTCCTACTTGGTCGTCTTTATCACTGGTGCAAGTGTCAACTTAGATCATTTTTTGAGTACGGGATCCGGCAGACGCTGATGAAATCGCAAGTGCTAGGGTTGTTTCATGTGCTGGTGGCTGATGTAGCTGATACATTGGCGCAAGCGCTAGATGCCTCCATGTCATAGACTGCTGGCATAAGGGTAATAACCGGGGACTGGAGGCCGGTAGCGTCCTGCAACTGAAACATCTTCTTCGCAACACGGAGGGACTGCTGTAAAATATGTTTGTGAAAGACCTGTCTATAAATAGAGAAACTTGGTGGACAGAGAGGTGAACAAAAATTCCATTGAAAATTAAGGAGCATTCTTCAGTGCAGTCCAAGCAACATGGATAAGGAATAGTTAGAAAAAAATATACCATGACAATTTGTACATCAAGCAAGCACGTGTTAAGCAAAATTAGAAGATGTAGTTGAAATAGACTTGAGCATGCCGATGAAAAACACACGGTTGAAATTGGCAAAATTATTTTTTTTAAGAGTATAAAATAAGAACACTCGAAAACTCTATATAACACCAAATGCTACAGGTATTTAAATATACATAAGCATGTTAATACCTAGCCGAGAAATGCAAACAAACTTTGTATGCCATTTATCTAAGCTAAAAGGAAAGTGACGTATATAGCTGTTTTCTCCTTGTAGAGATGACCTTCAATTCACATCAATGCATGTTGTTGCATGCGCAGTCAGGGACATTCTAGTGACAGTATAAATAATTAAGTTTGAACCAGATAAACCAGTGACTGAAAGCATGAGCAAGGATCCACACCATCGAGACACAGCCAAGTCACCAGTCCTCAACATTCGATACATATTAGTCAGCTCTGTGATGTAAGCATGTGTTTCTGGAGACCTATTTTTACCTGGAATCCCATCATGATCAACATGGACTCAAAGAAGATGATATTGTCAAGTGACTAACCAGGGTCATATCGGAAAAGCTGGGAAAGGAAATTGGCAAATGCATAATCCTTGGCTCCTTCTAGGCACTCGAGAATCCTGGCAGTTGCTGAAAGTAAACATATTCTATTAACAAATTAACAAGTTATTCAATAACAGGCTTTGACAATTAATGACAAAATAGCGAGCCATGAGAATCACCTGGAGGTTTCTGAATTATTGTCAATAGTACCAGTACATAATAAAGGTTGTTATACATATAGTGGGTGAGTTTTGTTTAATGCCGCCTTAAACAGTATTTCAGTTATATATCACTGTATCAGTCTGAAGACAGCCTGAAGTGGTTTAGACATATATGACTTTGGTGAAACGCACAAGCATGGGTATGGTGCTGACACAACTTTAAACATAATCAGTGTGGACCCGTTCTAACCCATCATCCTAGATTCCTGGAATGTTTGTTTGTTGTTTAACCCTCTGGATGCCGAGTTTTTTTTCTGACGCACATTTTCCTAGGATCGGAAAAGTGAAGGTTGTGCAAGAATTGCGCTCACGCGGCACTGGATCTACCTCTGGCTATAAAATTACGCTGAGGTGGAGAATATTAAATTTCCTATTTGATGGTGTAAATGTAACTGTTAATATCAAACCGGCTTTAAAAAAAGACACTCCTAAGTGTTGTCCGAGGATTTATTCTGCATTGAAAAACAGTAAATTTCTCCACTTTTTATCATACACCGATAAAGTACTGTGCAGCGATTTTTTTTATTAAGAAGCTTTACGGAAACTGTGAGCGAACAAAATACTGCCTAATATCTGAACGACATAACTACATATCAAATGGAGTTATATGCGTATGTATAACGATATACATTCAATTCCAAAAATAGCATGCCATAAATGACGAAAACTGATTTTTCTCTATTACGTCAAAAGGTGACAGAGAGGGTACACACGTACAAAGAAAAGGGGGCATAACTCCGCTATGCTTAGCTCTAGTTTGTTGTTACTCAAGTCATGTGGTGAGAATTAGCTGTGGGTAAGGACAATATATATTCGTGGTGTTTTGTTCAGGAGGAACCAAACTATTCCAACACAAATATCGATATTGAAACTGTACACGTTTAGTTATAAAATATACCCATAAGAAATGATAAAATCGTACTTCATAAAAAGGAGGTAATAGAGAAATGGATGGCCTTATCTAACCTATAACTTAGTCCTGAGATTCCAACATTCTCCTGATTGTGTAAGTGTAATTTGACTAATGTTGCATCATTATTAATGGAGCACAAGCCTTAACATCAAATGTAATGAAATACCCTAAAAATAACACCATTCCCTTTGACGTCATGGCTGGTTTTATGTCTTTGATAACGTCGGAAAAAGACGACACTGGTATTTTGATTCATATATTTCTCCCCTAATTTTCGTTCATGGTATGGAAAATCTCGATGTGTGGAACGGAATTTGACTCTTTTTCGACACAACATAAAATGACTGTACTCACCAAGTAAATAATGTCTTGAATATGTAAACAATTAGATAGTTTATCGTGTATCTTAATTGGACAAGACACGCACCCGTTTGGCATCAATTTACGTAATGAAATTCCCCAAAGAATTTTTCAAAACAACCAAAATCATATTCAATATTGGACATATATTTGTTCATTATTATGTTATTATTTCTTACACAATAAAAGATGCAAAGAAAGCTCTATTGGTATAGAATTATCAGGATAATCGTATATGTTTGAACCAACGGGGTACCTGGCATGGGCTTTATTTTTATACATTTACAATTCCTGGAGAAATAAAGTAAACTGTTTACTATCCTGTGATCACAATATTGAAAAAAGAATGAAACCATTGATCATATAATGCAAAACGAGAGGAATAATTCGTAAATTGTTTGTTACTAACGCGCACCTGGCGAATCGTTAGATATCACTGTATTCTCTGTATCCAACGACATAAAAGACAAATCCAAGACCAAGACATTTCAGAAATGTGTGCATATATTTTACTAAAAAATATTATCCATTTTGTTAAAGTAATATATTCAGTTTTAGTTATAAAATAAAATGAAACAGCTATTCATGGACATTGGTTATATGAACTTATTAATATTGACTTATTACACATCCCAAGAAATACGTACATGCTGCAGTTAAATTTACACATCATCTTGTAACACTTGTCCAAAGGAAAGAAATATCGTAGTCGACACTATAAACCTATCAATTGTTATGTAAACAATGTTCAAACAAACAGGAGATTATCAAAGGTTCGTTCATACATGTTGTGGCCTATATTTACGTATGATTTCATTTTGAACATTGACAAATATCCAAAGTGAAATTAATTGTGTGAAGAAATGTATAAAAGACATGCAAAATATACACCATAACTGAAACTGTAAACAGCATGATACAATGATCGTGTGCACTCTCATTTAAGGACCTTCACCTCAAAGAAATTACCAAATATGTACAACAATGTTGACGTATGACATCACTACCTGTGGCCCACTTTTACAAAATGGCGTGTACACTGTCAACAGTACGCGGGATTGTACGAGGGGACTTTCGTTGATTCAGGGATCGTATAAACATACATGTGACATGTAAGTAATCAGAAACATTCTGACAATCTATGTACTGTTATTTGTTGTCATAATTTTCATTGAAACAAACGGAAATAGTCAGAAATTCCAATAAATACCGTTGTCGTTGTGCGTGATTTTGCGTCAGTCATGACGTCAACCAGAATGGTAACTTTGACAATTTCTGTTGAAAATATCAAATCATTGCAATGTATCTATTTGAAATTCCCTAATTCTTCCAACGATTCTCTTTCCATGCATATTCTGAAAATGTTGAGACAATATCTTGAACGAATAGACGAATGGATAGCTCAAAATAGGAGAAAATGCTACAAATCTAAAATCTAAATTTTTGCTTTGTTTACATTTCAACCATGTGCAGTTTTTCGAGCACAGTGTTCGTTTTCACACCTAACTTATTTTGCTTGTTTTCATCTAGCCACTTTGTATTGGTGACAAAGACCACTGGTCATTTGATTCTTAAATGTATGAGGAATTCAAGGATGTAGGTATCGCAGATTAATTTGAAATATACGTGATGTTACAGGCGTCTCATAACCGGTGTACCTGAAACGTGATTTTGAAAACACTATCCAATATGGCGGAAAGTTCACTTGGGCGTTCGTGTTTTCGTTTTTCCCAAAACATTCTAAACGATTCTCGGGTTATTGGAGACGTTTTGGAATGATCATTGGTGATTTCATAAAAGACAGATACCCGTGATCACTAATATGCTATTTTTGAAATTCATTTCTCGGAGTAAATGTCCGAAATTTAGATTTCAAAACATGGTGTAAATAACGCCGTGAGAGGTGATTTAGTAATGTGTAAAAAATGGCGACATTTATGATGTACCTAATTTTCAGAGGTCATTTTCAGTACTTTTGCTTGGCCTAAAATGCCAGTGAATGATATCACGGAACAGGGAATTTCCATTTGACATATATGTCCCTGTGGCATCCAGGGGGTTAACACCACACTCAGCAATATTCCAACTATATGACAGCAGTCTGTAAATAATCAAACCTTGACCAGACAATGCAGTGATTGACATCATCAGCATCTATCTACGCAATTGGGATATTTTGACATGCATCAACCAAGTCAGCGAGCCTGACCAAACAAGCATAGTGGCAAGCATAGGTTGCTGTTCAAGACCTATTCTAACCCTGATCTTCACAGGGTCATTTCTGGCATGACTGAGGGACACAAGTAAAATACATTAGTTTTCCAATATGATTGTCATGTAGCCACAGCTGTACATGCAGCCTAGAAATTGTTTTTTGGTTATAGAATAGTCCATAGGACTACTGTAAACCTTATTTCACTGGTAGCTAGTCCTGCTAGAACCAGACAAAAATGTTTACTACAGTATATTTACATTTTCTGTTGCATGTGAGACAGTGATGTGGGGAGGGTGACTTGTCATCAAAGTCACATGACAGTGGCGATGGTCCATGCAAAAAGTAGCAGTGGAATGTGGAAACATCTTTATTTCTTCACCCAAGACCATCGCCGAGCGCTGTCTTTTTGTTGTTATAAGGTAAGCAGTGAATGCATTATGGAGTAATGCAGGATAAGTAAAAGATTTGAAGCATTGAGACTGGTTCAGAATCAAGCCTTCAAGTGCTGCTACAGTATAAGTCAGTGAGGGCTACCATCATTAGATTTTTACCTTGACTGAGCACAATACAAGAGTCTTAGGCTTGCGAAATAGCATGATTTAAGAAGGCTGTATATGATGGCCAAAGGTAAAAAGATTTGCAAATGTTAAATACACAACAAAACATTACACCTGTTATTTAGCATACCACACACATACCATGTATTTACCAATATCACAAAGATAAATGCAGACTTGTGGGCCTAAATAACATTTTCAATATGGCTGATGTGGCCACAAAGTTAAAGTAAGGAGAGAAGACACCCTTGCTGGAATAACAATTTCAGCTTCATTGGACCTTTTTGTTCAGAAGGGATGCACAGCTTTGTGATTCATGCTGGATGGAGAAAAGGAGTGCCATGACATAAGCTCCCCTGTGCACAATGTGCACTAACTGTAGGTTAAAGCAAACAACACGAACAAACCTGGGGGCTGGGCTAAATTTTGTGAATGAAATAAACATTTGTTTTGGCAATTGTTATCAGGCAACTGACAACATATACAGGCAAACCTCAAGTGTCAGCAAACATTGTTCATTGTTCTTGTTCAAATGACTTTATTGTCTATTTATAACTCAACATCAACATATTGATGTTGTGTACTTGGTAGCATAGCACTCACAAGATATGAGGAATAGTGATGAGTGAAACAAAGACTTCATATCATTACCATCTTCCTGCTCCACATCCTCTGTGAATGTCGCCAACTCCCGTGAGTATTTGCCTCTCTGAAATACTTCCTTAGGCAATGGGCCTAGAACCGAAGTTATCTGAAGGACAATTCATGATACAATCACTTTAGGTTAAATTGACATAAATACTGTATCTTAAAACATCTCTTCACAACCTTTACTCTGTTACAAATATGAGTGAAGTAGTCCAGGCAAAAAAGCTTTCACTTGGAACAAATTGCAACAGAATTTATTTTACCACAATGCATTTCTACAAGGTCCCGAAAACAACAAACTCATATTTCAGATGAGGGTCAATGGTGATGGAATTTCTTATCTTAAAGTGTTAACTATACTTCAGTGAGTTAATGTGCCATGTTATATGCACATAAGTCCTAGCACACTGTTTTAGAGTTAAAAGATTCAACTGTGTAAACACACATTTAGGAAACTTGTCGGCCATCTTGAAATTGGAGGCCATCTTGAATTTTGCAGATTTGTCAATAGTCGAAAACGTTCAGTTGTTGTGAATATCTTTTTAGAAACATAATATGGCTATTTTGCAATACAACACGTGCCTTTTTTTATCAGAACATTGACCCTCATTTGAAATATGGAAGATATATTGATAATTGGTGGCCCTATTGGATTATGCAAATTAGACATATTTCCCAAACTGGGATTTCTTGTGACTTTTAGTATGTTGTTTTCGGGACCTTGTAGAAATGCATTGTGGTAAAATAAATTCTGTTGCAATTTGTTCCAAATTAAGTGAAAAAATTACCTAGATTGCCTGGACTAAAGGTAACTTTTCCATCAACCTCAAGATATAACTTCAGAATAGCTTCCACCAAGTGACTGATTCAAGTCAACTTTGGTCAATAGCGACAAGAAGAGAAGTCAGCTAATCCTGGCAAAACTAAGGGACACAGGTAATTATGTCTACTCACACCACTAAGCCTCTTAACAACAGTGAGACCACCTTTGTGGTCTTGTGGATAGAGTGTCTGTGGTTCAATCCCTAGTCATGTCATACCCAAAGACGTAAAAAGATGGTACTTGTTGTTACACTGTATGGCACTCAGCATTAAGGGGCTAAAACAAGAACTGGTTGGCCCGGAGTCAGTATACTGTGTACTGGGGTATTTGTGTTAAACTGCAGCATGGTATCTCAGTGGGACAACACTATAAAACCGGCATTAGTTCAGACCAGTGCAAGCATTGGCCTGTGGCAGAGGTATAGGTTCTTCACATGGAAGTCTCGATAGGAGTGTAATTAAGTCCTCAAATGGTCACAAGTCTGAAAATGTAGTTTGGGTGAGTAAACCCTATAGTCTCAAATGTTTTTCAGCACAGACTGAAAATCACATAATGTTAGCTTGGGTACCGGGTACTCATATTTGCAAACCATCAAACAACTCCCTCGTAAAACCATATCATTGAGTAATTCCATCAATATCAAGTAAGTGTGTAATGTTCCTGTCATACAGCCTTACTGATGTAAGTAACTCTGGCTTGGTCTTGCCAAAGAAGAGGGGTCTTCCCAGATACAGTTCTGCTAGAATACAGCCCAGGGACCACATGTCAATCTCGGTGCCGAATGGGATTCCAAACATCACCTACAAACACAACACAAAAACCTTCATATTTTGTAATCTTGTAACAAGGACAGTTGTTAACAGCTGTTTCAGATGTATCTGCAAACATCATGAAAGAGTTGATCACCACCACTGTTTGTTCTCACATATCCTGAGCTTCTATGTATCTATCCACATACGATTTCATGTCTGGATATGAGTCATTTCCAAAATTTGTAGGATTTTGTGTAATATGTTAGTATCTCATTAATTATGGTATTCTAAAAATGTGTTTTAATCTTAAATTGTATCTTGCATATGTCTGCACATACTACCATATAAAAAATAGCTATAAATTATAGTTAAGCGCCACAAAATGACTTTGAAGGGTGAAATTTTGCCCATTTTGGCTTGTCACAATCCTGATGGCCCAACTTCAGACATTTTTGCATATATCTTTAAAGGGCAAGTTCACACGGAAATAAACCTATTTTTCTTGTACTTTTTCCACATTAAAAGTGTTAACCTAGAAGTGTCATAGACAAAAATATAAAAATATCACAATTAATTAACATATTTTTCGCATTAAAACGATTTATATTTTTCACATTTACCAAGTGTTCTATTTCCACAACAAAAACACCATGGCTTATGCCCCTTGCAATATGACGTCATTGGTGCCAATTGATAAACATTATGACGTCATCATGCTTTGTTAGAGCCGCTTCACGTGGTGTAGGTCTAGGTGTGTGATTCTAGCGTCTCAGATGCCAGCCAGCATAGTGTTATGCTGAGTCACCACTGCGCCGGAGTGTGTCGTAGGCCATGTTGTTTTACCGCAAACTGGTACTTGATATCTTTTGCGTTGAGAATAGACAGGGACCCAGTTGAATTGGCACCAATTACGTCATAATCTAAGGGGGATAACTCAGGCCTGTTTAGCTCGAAAAACGAAGGCCTCATAACGGCATATCATTTTCACACTATTGTGAGCTTCCTACTTTCACTGTGTAAAAAATGAGTGTATATTTTCAAACAAAGATACTAATTAATTCTAAAATTGCGTTTTGTTTAGAAAAAGAAAGAAAGTGATTTTTGCGTGTACACTTCCCCTTTAAAGATTATCTTAGATTAAGTGTAACAAATAATTTAACTACTTTTGAATGAAAAATATTTGATTTATTTCCTTTATTATGCTTGTCACAGGGTTACATGTCACAACTGTTATCAGAGCTAAATAATTTGAATAAATGGGGTCTCCCTAGCTGATTGCTTAAACTACTTCCTGTTCCAAAGCCTTGCTTTTTGGATGTCAACATGGCTGCACCTGGTTTTTTGGAGACTGCAGAAATAAATAAATTACAACACATAAGGTGAGTCGTTTTCATATCTCATGTTTTGTTATGTCACTACTGTTACTGGGCTTGAAAACCTATGTCATAATTGTTGTGTGCATATGTGTACTGATTTTCCATTTTGTGCATAGTTTGGGAAGCATGTGTGTTTTGATCCTAAGGGACCAATCATTATTTTAGAAATGAAAGTTCAGTGATTTGTCACTAATGTTACAGTCACTACTGTTACAATGTCATTTGTGTTAAAATGTAATAGTGGGGACAGAAATTGTAACAGTGGGGACATATCGTCAGTTAAACTATACTAAACCGCAAAAGAAACGTCAACCCCAAGTAATGTTGCATGAAAAGTTGTCATTTAAATAGCTGGGTAATGTTTGTCAAAGTTTCTAAAATTTAACATTACCTTGTCCAGAAAAATGAAATTTGATGATTAAAAAAACCAAAGCAGATGACAACAAGCATGAAATACTCACATCCCCGCCAATATGACATGTCGGGTTGTGTGCAACTGGGCCTTTTTGTAAATGGCCTAATTGCAGCACTAAAAAAAGTTATTACTGGTGTGCAATGAATGCAACAACTGTGTCCATGATCCTTTTGTAGGAACATACACTCAAGCAATGCAGAACTTACCAACAAAAAAGGAAATGTATTCCATACTGTGAGATGACATTATGTGCCAAGTTTGGTGAATAAATATAGTACAGTTTTCAAGATCTGCTCCGGAAACGAGGACTACCGCCATTTTCAGTCTAAATCAAAGTCGTTGCCATGGAAACTCAAAAAATAATTTTTTGAAAAATCCCAAACTATCAAAAGGCACCACTTCACCACTAGATCTATCTATGTGCCAAGTTTGGTGAAGAAATATGGTACGGTTTTCAAGATCTGCTCCGGAAACGAAATGTGACGGACGGATGGACGGCACCCATTCCTATATCCCCCTTCCACTTCGTGGCGGGGGATAATAAAACCGATTGCCCAAACGCATCATGGCAACAGCCATAGTAACCCGATGCATGTGAGTTCCGTGCAAATTGAAATGCACATGTGTTCCCCCATTTCTTGCCCTATAAAAATCCACCCAGATCGGATAACATTCATTCGTTATTGAAATGCTACCACATGCAAAGATTGACAAGAAATCAGCGACACCAAGCCCTTGGATGATTGCAAGCTTGACAGAGTAGACAATGCATTTCAAGTCCACGTAAGGACCATATACAGGCTCAAGCAACGGTACCAGACCACCAACACTACAGATGACCGAGCATGTAGTGGAAGACCAAGGGTCACCACCCGACATCAGGATCGTCAGATTGTGTGACAGCATCTTCAAGATCGCTTTGTTACTGCTGCGGAAACTGCTAAACAGACCATGGGGACACACCAGAGACACATTAGTGCAGACACCGTGCATCAACGATTGACAAGCAGACACCTCCACTGTCACAGGCCACTCCGAGGACCCATTCTGACACCACGTCATTGCCAGGACCGTCTTCAGTGGGCAACACAGCACCAGCATTGGCGCCACCAGCAGTGGAGAAGAGTCCTCTTCTCAGATGAAAGCCGTTACTGTATCTCATCAGCAGATGGCAGAGACAGAGTCTGGCGACGCCATTGGAAACATTATTCGGATACTTGTGTTGAGAGAGACTCGTGGGGTGGTCCAAGCATCATGGTCTGGGGGTCGAATTAATCTTGCACAGAGGGTCGGCCCTGTGGTCTTCCAGAACATCGGTCCAGGGAGAGGCAATTGTGTCACAGCAGCTCGGTACATTGATCAAGTCTTGAGACCACATGACCTACATCATTCGGCACATCGCCGCAACCACGAGTTTCAACATGATAACGCCCGTGCCCACACTGCGAGAGCAACAAGAGTGTTCCTCCAGCAGAATGGCATCTGAATCATGCGGTGGCCTGCCCTCAGTCCTGATTTAAATGCCATTAAGCACCTGTGGGACAAGATTCAAAGACGGCTGAATGATGTTCGATCAAGGCCGACAACTCAGCTGAACTGCCTAAGGCGTTCCTCAGAGTGTGGGCTCAAGTGCCTATGGCCTTCATCAACAGCCTCATCCATTCCATGTATCGACGTGGCACGGCAGTCATCAATGCACATGGCAGGCACACGAGATACTGACTTGTGATGCCATCTTCTCAGATACTAGTGTTGTTTGACACTTTAATTTCAACCTTGATGATCAGTTTTGCCAAATTTCATCTTTTTAATATGTCTCAAAGTACGTTTACAGTGTTTGGACAAATAAGATTTATCATATATCTATCCATGGTGACGTTTCTTTTGCAGTTCAGTATAGTATTCTGTAGGAAAATTGAAAGAATAATTCATAGCTGTTTGTACAAATAATTATCATAATGAATACAATGATTTTGCTTGAAAGTTCTGAAAAATGCTGACATGCATGGCCAGAAAACAGACAATATGGCAAGTATATGTAACAGTAGTGACGAAGGATGGTCAAAGTTGTGACTGAAATGGATCGCAATACAGATTCTGCTTTACTTACATAACCACTCAAACTAATATATTTTGTTTCGATTAAGTTTTATGAATTCATTTTCAAAATTAGCAGAATCACATCTGTGATTGCAAGAGGAATGCGTATTTTAAATACTTGTAACAGTAGAGACCAGTCAGAGATTTTGAGATTGTAACAAATTTGACAAAAGTGCATTGATAAAAGTGTTAGCTAATTTTCATAGCTGTTTTGAAACAATAATATATGTAAGTTTGACATTGCTTGACAGATATGTTTGAACTGATTGTCATAAGTTTTCATCTCATACATTTTAGTTGCTTTGTAACAGTGGGGACACAAAATGTAACAGTAGTGACAACTGATTTAATGTTGTACATGTTGTAAGAAAATGGTTTGGGGGATTAAGTTTTACAATTGCAGAGAAGTGCATTTCTCATTAAAAACTGTTTCACAAAAACTGATACCGATTTCATTGAATTACAAACAGTTTTACTCGAAGTGCATATAATATGTTGTAACAGCGGTGACACTGAACTGTAACAGTAGTGACTAGGAATTTTATAATTTGAAAGAATATGTTGTAACTTGAAACCTAATTTATTCAGTTTGACGTCTTTGAATATTGTTTATGTTTTCCTGGTAATATTTCAGAAGACTGATGGCTTTGACTAGGGTTGTGAAATTTTCTTTAAATGTTATGTTTCCAATCATATATTAGTCTTTTTCAGTGCAAAGAATCAAAGATGGGTATGAATGCGGTGGAATGCCATAGGTGTTACAGGCAAAAGGAGCAATGGCACTCCAGAAGCATATTCATCTCTGTACAGTTTTTCACCTCTCTGGACAGTTTTTTACCCATGGCACCAGTGATTGAGCAGGATGTTTAAGAGACATCTTTACCTCTGGACAGTATGGGAACACCTTTGACACCAGTGAACCCCAACAAATCCATGATGCAGGATGTTTAAGAGACATCTTCACCTCTGGACAGTTTGAATAACACCTATGACACCAGTGAACCCCAACAAATCCATGATGCAGGATGTTCAAGAGACATCTTCACCTCTGGACAGTATGGAAACACCTATGACACCAGTGAACCCCAACAAATCCATGATGCAGGATGTTCAAGAGACATCTTCACCTCTGGACAGTTTGGAAACACCTATGACACCAGTGAATCCCAACAAATCCATGATGCAGGATGTTCAAGAGACATCTTCACCTCTGGACAGTTTGGAAGCACCTATGACACCAGTGAACCCCAACAAATCCATGATGCAGGATGTTCAAGAGACATCTTCACCTCTGGACAGTTTGGAAACACCTATGACACCAGTGAACCCCAACAAATCCATGATGCAGGATGTTCAAGAGACATCTTCACCTCTGGACAGTTTGGAAGCACCTATGACACCAGTGAACCCCAACAAATCCATGATGCAGGATGTTCAAGAGACATCTTCACCTCTGGACAGTTTGGAAACACCTATGACACCAGTGAACCCCAACAAATTCATGATGCAGGATGTTCAAGAGACATCTTCACCACTGGACAGTTTGGAAGCACCTATGACACCAGTAAACCCCAACAAATCCATGATGCAGGATGTTCAAGAGACATCTTCACCTCTGGACAGTTTGGAAACACCTATGACACCAGTGAACCCCAACAAATCCATGATGCAGGATGTTCAAGAGACATCTTCACCTCTGGACAGTTTGGAAGCACCTATGACACCAGTGAACCCCAACAAATCCATGATGCAGGATGTTCAAGAGACATCTTCACCTCTGGACAGTTTGGAAACACCTATGACACCAGTGAACCCCAACAAATCCATGATGCAGGATGTTCAAAAGACATCTTCACCTCTGGACAGTTTTGAAGCACCTATGACACCAGTGAACCCCAACAAACCCATGATGCAGGATGTTCAAGAGACATCTTCACCTCTGGACAGTTTGGAAACACCTATGACACCAGTGAATCCCAACAAATCCATGATGCAGGATGTTCAAGAGACATCTTCACCTCTGGACAGTTTGGAAACACCTATGACACCAGTGAACCCCAACAAATCCATGATGCAGGATGTTCAAGAAACATCTTCACCTCTGGACAGTTTTGAAGCACCTATGACACCAGTGAACCCCAACAAATCCATGATGCAGGATGTTCAAGATACATCTTCACCATTGGACAATTTGGAAGCACCTATGACACCAGTGAACCCCAACAAATCCATGATGCAGGATGTTCAAGAGACATCTTCACCTCTGGACAGTTTTGAAGCACCTATGACACCAGTGAACCCCAACAAATCCATGATGCAGGATGTTCCAGAGACATCTTCACCACTGGACAGTTTGGAAACACCTATGACACCAGTGAACCCCAACAAATCCATGATGAAGGATGTTCAAGAGACATCTTCACCTCTGGACAGTTTGGAAACACCTATGACACCAGTGAACCCCAACAAATCCATGATGCAGGATGTTCAAGAGACATCTTCACCTCTGGACAGTTTTGAAGCACCTATGACACCAGTGAACCCCAACAAATCCATGATGCAGGATGTTCAAGAGACATCTTCACCTCTGGACAGTTTGGAAACACCTATGACACCAGTGAATCCCAACAAATCCATCATGCAGGATGTTCAAGAGACATCTTCACCTCTGGACAGTTTGGAAACACCTATGACACCAGTGAATCCCAACAAATCCATGATGCAGGATGTTCAAGAGACATCTTCACCTCTGGAAAATTTGGAGACACCAGCGAATCCCAGTCAATCCATGATGCAGGATGTTCAAGAAACATCTTCACCTCTGGACAGTTTGGGAGCACCTATGACACCAGTGAACCCCAACAAATCCATAATGCAGGATGTTCAAGAGACATCTTCACCTCTGGACAATTTGGAGACACCAGCGAATCCCAGTCAATCCATGATGCAGGATGTTCAAGAGACATCTTCACCTCTGGACAGTTTGGGAGCACCTCTGACACCAGTGAACCCCAACAAATCCATGATGCAGGATGTTCAAGAGACATCTTCACCTCTGGACAGTTTGGAAACACCTATAACACCAGTGAACCCCAACAAATCCATGATGCAGGATGTTCAAGAGACATCTTCACCTCTGGACAGTTTGGGAGCACCTCTGACACCAGTGAACCCCAACAAATCCATGATGCAGGATGTTCAAGAGACATCTTCACCTCTGGACAGTTTGGGAACACCTCTGACACCAGTGAAACCCAACAAATCCATGATGCAGGATGTTCAAGAGACATCTTCACCTCTGGACAATTTGGAGACACCTCTGAGACCAGCGAATCCCAGTCAATCCATGATGCAGGATGTTCAAGAGACATCTTCACCTCTGGACAATTTGGAAACACCTATGACACCAGTGAACCCCAACAAATCCATGATGCAGGATGTTCAAGAGACATCTTCACCTCTGGACAGTTTGGAAACACCTGACACCAGTGAACCCCAACAAATCCATGATGCAGGATGTTCAAGAGACATCTTCACCTCTGGACAATTTGGAGACACCAGCGAATCCCAGTCAATCCATGATGCAGGATGTTCAAGAGACATCTTTACCTCTGGACAATTTGGAGACACCAGCGAATCCCAGTCAATCCATGATGCAGGATGTTCAAGAGACATCTTCACCTCTGGATGAAGGTGGAGATGGAAAATCCCATGTCAGTAATGTTTATGTGCTTTTTTGTGAGTTACCCATGTGTCAACATTCTTCTACAACAGCATATTGTCTGAAAAAACATTTTGTCGTAAAACCGACATGTTAACCAGTGAAACAGGTTTTTTCATTCAAATTAAAGCTTATTCAGTTGATATGATGTGTTTTTGTTTGATAACATTGTTTGTTGCGTTGAAAGATGGAATGTGGAAGTCATATTAAATTTCCTCTTTCATAAGAAAGTCACTACTGTTATGCTTGTCACTACTGTTACATGTAATGTCACTACTGTTATCGGCCTAACTTATAGTAAATATTTATTATTTTCTTTTTGTTATTTGCTTTATGTGTTATTTTCTAATAAATAAACATGTAATTGTATGTTCTGAAAGAAATTCACCAGAACAAACAATGTTTTAGTACAAGAAGACTGGTGTCAAAATTTTATCAAAATGTAAATTGACAAACCAAAGCTTACTATCATTGTTTTATATTTTCTTCAATTTGGTTTCTTTTGACTTTTCTGTGTACAAGTCTTCACAGAAAATGATATTATCACTAAAAATCCCAGTTCAAATGACAATTTTCAAATAACCCTTACTTTACAACATGTAACAGTAGTGACTTGTAATTTGCATTTTTCGTTTTTAAATGTCAACAAAGCAATATTAGGATTCATTAAGGTTGCAAACTCTTTACCTTAACTCTAAAACATGTTGTTTTTGTATTAATGAACCAAAATCAAGGAAAAGAAATAGTTGCTTTTTGAAATTCATAGGCATGAAATATCTTACAAATTTTGAAAATGACTCGTATCATTCTGATAAAAATCTAAGATGCCAGTAATTGAAAAGTTGTTGAAAAAATGATATGCTTCTCACAATAATAACATGGCAGGGGAACAGAAATGGGCTTTAAACAGTGTACCCATGTGGGCAATTGAACCTGCGTCTTCGGTGAGGTGACAAGTGAACACTGTAACCACTGGGCTACCCTACTGCCCCCAGATGGTACTGAGTACTGAGGACTGAGTCATATCATATAATGCCAGGAAGCAGAGGAAGCATTATAAAGGGGAGTCAACTATTGCCATGGAACAGTCCTAAAACATGTCATTAGATAATCAATTCTGATTCCTTTAGATTAATATGAGTATTTTACTTTGTATATAAAAACAAAACAAATATGTCAGAAGGCCCAAAGTAAAGGTGGTAGACATTTACCAGATTGGTGAAACCAAGGTATGGTATTGAGAGATCAGGGATCATAATCTGGGAAAATCTGGGATTCGAACCCATGACTAGCATACTCTGGCACTTCTACATCATCCATTGGTCAACAGTGAAATTACCTCTGGCGCCCTGTAGAGCAAGGTCTGGACATCAAACTCACGGTAGTACAGAGAAACTTCTTTGTGGACATGTTGTATGGAGTTACCAAAGTCTATCACAGTCACAGAACTCAGGTCATTGGCTGGAAGAAACAAAGAACTGATACTTGAACCAGTGGTCATGTTGACTTAGAATTATCAAAACTGTCAGAGACGTATTACGTGACCACTATCACAGAATTCAGTTTATGTGCTGGAAGAAACAAAGAACTGATACTTGAACCAATGGTCATGTTGGCTTAGAACTATCAAAACTGTCAGGGAGGTATTATGTGATCACAATCACAGAATTCAGTTAAGGTGCTGGAAGAAACAAAGAACTGATACTTGAACCAATGGTCATGTTGGCTGAGAACTATCAAAACTGTCAGAGAGGTATTACGTGACCACTATCACAGAATTCAGTTTATGTGCTGGAAGAAACAAAGAACTGATACTTGAACCAATGGTCATGTTGGCTTAGAACTATCAAAACTGTCAGAGACGTATTACGTGACCACTATCACAGATTTCAGTTTATGTGCTGGAAGAAACAAAGAACTGATACTTGAACCAATGGTCATGTTGGCTAAGAACTATCAAAACTGTGAGGGAGGTATTACGTGACCACTATCACAGATTTCAGTTTATGTGCTGGAAGAAACAAAGAACAGATACTTGAACCAATGGTCATGTTGGCTTAGAACTATCAAAACTGTCAGGGAGGTACTATGTGATCACAATCACAGAATTCAGTTAAGGTGCTGGAAGAAACAAAGAACTGATACTTGAACCAATGGTCATGTTGGCTTAGAACTATCAAAACTGTCAGGGAGGTATCATTTGATCACAGTATCAGAGAAAACTATTAAAAGTAGGATTGAGTACTTCTTGCAATAATTGGAAAGATATTCAATGGACTCTAGCTCATCCGTCTATCTACTTCTTGGTGTCCTCAGTGAGCAGTGAGTACTGTTTAATGCCTTAGTCAGCAAAAAAATCAGCTGAATGATGACTGCCTGTAAATAATCTATGCTGGGCCAGGCACTCCAGTTGAAGACAGCAAGACTGTGTTTTATATATACGAGCCACCAATCTGCGCTGACAGCATAGGGATATGTCAGGATATGACAGCATACAATCAGCCAGGTCATACATCCTAACAAAATTAATACATTAACATTTTAATCAAAATGTAAATAATTGAGTGTGGGCCAGGCAAACCAGTGGTTGATGGCCTGGTATGTGATTCACACCATCAGGGAAAGATGTCAGGTCCACCAGATCCACATTGCAACCTCCCAATTCTCATTTAAGTATACACATGCTATGACAACAAGCATAGGGTACCGGAGCCCTGTTCTGCTACAGAATCTCCAGGAGTGTAACTAACCATGTTTCAGCAGTATGTTCTCTGGCTTGAGGTCGGCATGGATAGTGTTCTGTTGTCGAAGAAAGCCTAGGACAACCAACAGCTGGAGACTCAGCTTCTTCACCTTGTGTAGGTGCTGAAGTATAACATAGGCTTCATCATATAACACACAACAGCTTCATCATGTCCATCGATCCTAAATAAACAAACTGTAAAAAGATAATTTTTGCCTAATAAAATATTTTTACAACTCTTATCCATTAAGCACTCACAATAGGAATTCCCCCAGTGGGGGAATTTTTGTTTTGGAGTTGATTTCGCCTGTTATTTTCTTTCGTCTGCTTTACCCTATTTCTGTTTTTCAAATGTAATTTTGGTCAAGCATTTGTCATTAAGTATGCCAGAAAGTATTAACATCTGCAAGTTACTATGTTGAATTTAATTGCTCTTTAAGATTATACATTTGTTCCAATTGTTTATCCTTTAAAATTATACATTCCTACCAATCATTTATCCTTTAAGATTATACATTTCTACTAATAATTTATCCTTTAAGATTATACATACCTACCAATCATTTATCCTTTAAGATTATACATTTCAACTAATAATTTATCCCTTAAGATTATACATTCCTACGATCATTAGAAATCAAAGTTTAAAAGAGAGGGAAAAACAAACCTCACCTAAAAAATATCATAGAGGCAAATTCCTAAAAACAGCATTGGTTTACAACACTTTCACACAATGACTTATGGTTATCAATCAACTACCTATAAACATAGCACTATTACAAACCCTAATCTATATTTGTGACTTCACACAAAGTGAGAGTGACAGTATTACATTTAATCCCAATGTGTCAGCTAATGGTGGGATTGTTTGTATGGTTGTTTGAATAAAGCAATAAGTCAGCAATATCCAAGCCATATCATGAGAGCCGGTAAATAATTTAATGGTGGACCAGTGGCACTATGACACACAATCACTTAAGTCACATAATCTGTTTCTATTCCAAGGGACCTATTCAGCCCTAGAAAGTGGGAGGAAAGCCTCAAGGATCACAATCCAGGTCAATCTGGGATCTGAAAAAACAAGTAGGGGATCATAGCAGAAGCTCCCCACAGCAATAGCCCATTTGCGGAGCTCTCTATGTATACTATCCCTGCCACCACTCAACTCCCTACTGTGACAGGCAGTCACAACCATGTTTGCAACAGAATGACCATTACGTTTACACACAAATGTGATGACTTGTGATGCTGAATACTCTTCCAGAAGCTAACTCACTTTCTTTGTTCGTCAGTCTGAATCTCTATTTCATTTCATCATGTAATTAGTAAGAATGTACTAAAGGGGGTAGTTTAGCCAGGTAGAACAAGAGACGACTAGTACAATATACACAGATCTATTTACATGAACATCATATACATAGGTAGCTAACAAATATATACAACACTGGTGAACAACAATAGACTTCCCAGGGTCTGAGCATGTTCCTAGGAAGCAAGAGCAAGTTTGTAGACACATACTTAGTTTTGGTTTTAATGTGCGCTTTCCGACATATGAGTATTTTGGAAATTTGGAATATTTAAATATACCATGCTAAAAAGGTGGGGGAACTAAAGGGGTTTGTGAGGTTGTGTGGTTAAGTGTTTTTATAGATTTATGATTTATGTTTTATTGGTAGTTTCTTTGTTTGGGGTTTCTTTGGGGTTTTTTTAAATGCGACCGAGTAGGCCTGTTTTGATTAGATAAATGCCTAGTCCTTTATAGGTTTGTAAGTAATTTAAGGGGTTTAGTAGAGTTGCTAGTGTCATCTGGTTGTTGTAGTTTAGTGTGGATTTGAGTGTTGTTCTGTGTTGTTGGTAATGTGTGACATGTAGTATTACGTATTCAGGTGTTTCTATTTGGATGCAATGTGGGCAATTACCGGTTTGATGTTTTTTAATTTGGTGTAGGTGTGAGTTTAGTTCACTGTTTAGTGTGGCCTGTTTGCAATTTGGTTATTGCCCTGTCGACTTTCTTTGATTTTATGATGGATTTTGATTTTTTTGAGTGGCTTTTGTAGCAGGTTTGCAGTTTGATTCCTGATAGTTGTTTTGCCTTCTTCTCATTTTAGTGCTGATTAAGCTGCTTTCTTGGCATTTTCCTTACCAAACACTTCGACGTGGGCAGGGATCCAAACTATTTCTATGTCTTTGCTTAGTTTACGGAGATTGTCGGAGCTTTTAAGTATCTGAAGTATTAGTTTTGGACGGTTTTTTTGTGTATTTGTTTCTCATATCCTGGAGCCCACTTAATGAGTCAGTTAGGATTAGTTTTTTTTGGTGTTTTTTATTTGGGCGCTGAGTAGGGCTGTTACTATCCCCTTTAGTTCAGCTGTGAAGATTGATTTGTTAATGGAGAGCCTTTAGGATTTTGTTTCTTTTGTAGATGTGTTGATGTGGATGCCGAATCCTGTGTGCGTCTTGAGTCCAAGTCAGAGGACCCATCTGTGTATATGTGTAGACACTAGAGAGAGAGATAATTGGCTTCTTTACGCCTGCTTTCCGACTTTATGCGTATTTTGCACACGGACCCGCCAGGCCAATTAGTGGTTTTGCCGAGGAGGGTATATCTGAAAAGGAATGGCAACCTGTGGGCTTTTATGGCTGCTTATTTAATTTTGGGGTAATTTGTAATTTTGAAGAATGCTGTGCTATAGGAGGAGGAACTAAGGGATTTTGTGTTGTTGTGTTTTATTTAGTTTTTTTGTTTTTTTAGGGTTTAGATTGGTGATAGTATGATTTTGTAGCTTACTGTAAATCTTGATATCAACGTGAGCTTGAATTATATGCGAAAAATGCGAGTTGTCTTTGCTTGCATAATTACACATCGCATTTTTATCAACAATAAGGCATTTTGGATAGCAGATATACCAACTTAGACATACGCTGAAAACAAACAACTATGTATTCCACATCACTGTTTATTGAGCAGCACTTGTTACAAGTATATAAACAATGTCATTCAAACACTAATTACATCCTGTGAATTGTCACTGCTGGGGTCAAGAAAAGTGTTCTACTCACTCATGTCATCACTGATCACACCTGCAAGTCCAGACAGACGCCACCCAACACCGTGTCTTTGCTCTTTCCGACTGCATCAAAGGCCGAAACAAGCCAGCGTGCACGTATTGTTTAAGCTGAAGTACTCTACGCTGCACTAATAAGCTGTGCTATTTGGTGTGTGATTGGATTAATGTAAGGTTGGATTAAGATGAGGATTCTCCTGTAAACCTGACAGAGGACATTTTGTTTAGATATAAATCCACTGATGCTTGAGAGGAGGGTGTGTCGCATTCATATTGAGTCGCATTTTTGGCTAGGGGCCAGCGGTCGCATTCTTTTGGAGACGCATTAATTTCACGTTCTACAGTATTAGATGCAGATGGTTTTGGTTATTTTGTGGATTTAGGATTGATGCTAGTGTAAGTGCAGTTTTAAGATTTAGGGCGGTCTGTAGTGTTGTTCGGTGTGTTTGGTAGTGTGTGCAGTGAATGAGTACGTGTTCTGGTGTTTCTTGTTGTTTTCAATGTGGGCAGTTTCCTGTTGTGTGTAGATTAGCTATTTTACGGTGATTATTTAGTTTGGTGTGGCCTGTTTGTAGTTTAGTAATTATTCTGTCGATTGTTTTGGATGGGTGTAGTATTTTTTGGTTTAGTTAGTTTTTTCTTGAATACTTTCCTGATTTGGCTATTTGAGTTTTGGTATATATTTTGCCATTTTTTGTTGATTTTTTGTTTAGCGACACTTTTGATTTCTGATTTTTAGCTGGGTAAGTTTAAGCTTATTTCTGGGAGTTGAAGGGATAAATTTGCAGCTTTATCTGTGTTTTCATTTCCAAAGATTCCTACGTGGGCGGGGATCCAAATGAACTCTATTTGTTTACCTGCCTTAGTTAAGTTGTTTGAGCTTTTGAGTATTTCATTTATTAGTTTGGGGAGGTTTTTAGTGTTTTTATTTTTGAGGGCTTGTAGTCCACTGAGGGAGTCGGTTAGGATGAGGATTTTTTGGTGTTTTTTTAGATTGGTGATTGAGTGTTGAGGCCATGCCCTTAGTTCGGTCGTGAATATGGATTGGTTGTTTGGGAGTTTGTTTTTGGTTGGTTGTGCGATGTGGACTCCGAAACCTGTGTGTTTTGAGATCGTCCGTCTGTGTATATGTGACACCAATTTGGCCAATTTTCGTGTATGTATGCTAGTGTGGTGGTTTTAGTGATGTTAGGATTGGTCTGTTTATTTAGTGTATCGGCTAGTGTTGTGTCTATTTTTGGTATATTAAGTTTTGGAGTGAAGATATTGGATGATTTATTGTTTTGTTTAAGATTATTTATTTTGTGTTCATTTAGGTAATTGGTTATTCTTTGGGGATTTGGAGTAAATAGGGGTAGACACTTATTCCTGGACTGATATCTTTACTAACGTTTTACTACGTTTATGTATTATATCATTGGTCTTGGTTGGCTGACCAATCACAACAAGCTTAGGGTGTGGGGACCAACCATATTAGGGACTAACATTTAAGATTTTGAACTATTCGGAACTTTTGGATGTGTATCCTTTGACACTAACTAGGTGGTGGGTGAAATATATTGTTTTAGGTGATTAGCCCTAGGTAATTAGGGCGTTGTCTAGACTCAATGAATACAGAGGTAATCAAGTGGTTTTGACAATGTTATTTTAGGATTGGATTATAGGGTTTAAATTAAGTCATAGCTTACATATAATTTAGATTAAACATTGTTTCAAAATAGATAACTATTGAATCTTTTGTTTCATGTGACAATGTATTTATGGTTAAATATTTAGAACATTGCAATGCTATTTTATTTTTAATACCTTATTTATTAATGTATACAGGGATGAGAATGGATAGTTTCCTTTTCAGTTGAAACATCTTTGCAATTGAGCGTGGTCCATAATCTGAGGGTGTTCATGGGGGAAGCCTTCAGATTTTAACAAATTTGTGGTCACTAAAATTCACGGATCCACCGAAGATTCTCACCACTGTGTATATTTATATTGTATAATGTATGAAACTACCACTTTCTAACAGTTATTTAAACAATACGCATTATTACAAAACATTCACATTTAATGCCAATGATAAATGTAAGGGGGAAGTTGTGTACTTTTCCATTAGTCTGCAATCTCAAACCAATCTGATTAAACAAGCAAAATGTAAATTCTGACTTAAGCCTTTTCAAAATTCACTATGATGGCATTCCCCCAAAACATACACAAATATGTATATATATCTCCACATTTGAGGTTAGAAGGCAAACTTCAAGATTCTTGTAATGATAATGTCCATACTGGTGGCAGCGATGCTACTGGGAGTGTAACGAAGGAGTCACGGGCTGGGAAGGAGCTTGAGCAGAGCATGGCTAAGGGACACAGCTTTGTTAAGTGAATCAATAGGCCATAGATCACTGCATGTGACAGAGTCTGACAAGATGTCTACCTACCGTGCAGTTGCGAAGGTGAAGGTCACCAAATACTTCAGTGATTGGATGAGGTGACAAGGATTCAAACACCATACAAAAGTGTCCTCCAAACACAAATGTATTCTGCAACAAATAATTTCACAATTACTGCCATTACCATGATCACTGCCAAAGATTTTATGGCTAGCTAACAGATCCTACAGCGTAGCTCACCTACTAAAATATAATTCTGTCCACTTCACCACATTCACAAAACAATTTCACAATATTTTTCTTAATCATCCAAACTGAAATATAGATTTTAATGAATGGATATATTTTGTCTATTTACATAACATATTAGCTATCAATACAGCCCATAGGATCAGCAGATCACAACTAAGGATGCAAATCTAAAATGTGCTTCATATGTAATACACAACCTCATTATTATTCATCAAACTAATTTTGACTAATTGTTTAAACACATTCACACGAAAGTATATATTTTATGAGATGGCAGATTAAGTTAAGGATGTCTAATGGTATGATATATAGTCCTCAACAAGAAGCTCACACAGTTCTTGTTCAGTGCATGTACAACATGCAGGGCGTGATTTAAGAACTTGATGAAATTTGCACCAGGTGCATTTTGACATGAAAAGCGAGTTACACCAGACATAACCAGGTTGCACCCTGGTCCCATAAATGTATCCAAGATAAAACATAGATGCATAAACTAGTGTAAATAAGTACAATCCCAGATCTCTGACACACAACACAGTAACTAGTGATGTAGTATGGTACATAAAGCATAGAGGTATTGCATGTGTTTAATGATCGTTGTTGTGTGGACAAGTAAGGGACACAAATTTGAATTGTTTTTACATGCACTTGGTGCGTGTAGACATAAATATCGAGCCCGGACACGTAATTGTATGTAACGTAATAGAATGCACAGCATCCAAATATCTTTATATTCAAACAGTAAGGATGCTGTTTTAATAACACCTGTTTGACACTTACAATGGCAGACATCCTAAACAGGAATTACAGAAACTAAGAACTGGAAGCACTCATACAATCTCCATATTGCAACTGCTGTCTCTTGTACATTAGAAATAGACTGCTTGGTCAGGATCATTCTGATTGTACGAGGTGAATTGAGACGATGTATAAATGTTTGGGTTACAATTCAATGTCAGTTCTGATATAAGTGAGATACTCTGTTGCAGTTTAACATGAATACCCCACTTAGACACATTATACTAACTCTGAGCCGACCATTCCTTGTTTTAACCCCTTAATACCGAGTGAGAGGCAGGGTATCAACAAGTACAATCTTTTAACATCTTTTAGTATGACACAGCCAGGGATCGAACCATGAACAATCTACTCTCAAAGCAGTTGCTCTATCCACTAGAACGGAGGCAGTTGGGGATGCTATAAGACACTTGGCCTCAAGTTTGATTTCTTCTGAGGAAGCCACCAGGCTTCTGATGTTGTCTCCCTAGTTGGCAAAGGTATATTTGAACAACCAGTGTCTAAGAGCCAAAAATAAAGTCATGGGGAGCCTGATTTTATCGAAATTGAAATAATACTCTGGCTTCAGTTAAAGTTCATTTTCAACTCACACATATGATCAATCTACATTCTCATCCAGTTCAAACATCAAAACTAGTTAGTTTTACAGGACATACTGGTGAGTTTTGAAGACCTAAATCCCAAGGTTAGAAATTGGGATCCAAATGTGCATCATCAAAGTCATCAAGACATTTTGACTTAAGGTAGACACTAAGCAACATCGTGCTAGATCATAGGAGCTGAAAAATAGAACTTGGCTGCATCGGCAAACAAAATACAGTAAACTATGCTCGTATAACAAACCGCTTATAACGAAGATGGAAATAAAGTACTTATTTTTCGGTACCGGCCACTTGCTGTATATATGCTTATAACGTAATGCGGTTATAACAAAGTAAAATAAGTGGTCCCTTTGAGTTTGTTGTTACTATAGTTTACTGTACTAAAATAGATGGGGGTCTTATTGATTGGACTTTGTAATTGATATATCGACTCAAAATTATCAAAATAGAATGACAAATCGCTTTAATAACAAAATTAGTTATTCAATGGATGCATAATCTACTATAGATTAAGAATTTTTATTTAAAGCTGCAATTAATTAGCTTAATGCTAAATATGAACTAGCCTGATCTTTTAAATGTTTAAAATGTAATTTGTTGCCTTTCTGGTTGAGAGCCGGATACTATTGCTGAGGTTATATACAATGACACATGGTGTTAAAATAATGTAACAAATTGCAACACACTGACAAGTCAAGTGCCATGATAACAAACACATACATTCAAATTTAGGTGATCTAAATCCATCAAATATATCACATACTTTCAGACAACAAATATGAAAATCAAAATCATAAAGTTGAAATAATTCTCCTGAGTTGAGATAACTTACAAGCAACTTGACTGTGTGAGAAACATGAAGTGGATCGGACACGGCAAGACGTCTCAGACATTCTGCCTCCTGTGCTCCAATGTTAAAGTAGGTAGTATGAAGAATCTTGATCACAACAACTTTGTTCCGATTAAAGAGATCCTACAAAGATAAACAGTTCATGCAACATACACCAGCGTGTAGTGGTAGATATAAAACTGAAGAAATAAAATGACTTATGAAAATAAATCTAATAATTAACATTTATTATGGCCTAAAAGTGGTGTAAACCTAGTAAAATCCTAGATATTTTCTATATTTGTATACTTATCCTGCATTACTCCTTAATGCATATTACTGCTTGTTCTTGACAGAGAAAAGAGCTGTGTGAAGGTCTTTGCTTGAAGAAGTTGTTCCAACTAGCTGGGAGGCCAACCCTATCATCAAAGGAAGTGACGTCACAGATCCTTACATTACTCTGGAGTCCAGAACATCGGAGGGCATCATGGGGAGGCAGCTCTGTGATGGGTGGGTCTTTACATGCAGTAATGCAGGATAAGTATACAAATATAAAAAATATCTAGGATTTTACTAGATTTTTTACTTATCCTGCATTATTCCTTAATGCATCTTTATCCGATGGAATCGGTGGAGGGCATACATTCAGATCTTGACTTTCATCTCAGAACTCTGTTCCCTCAGCCAATCCTCGGCTGTGTGGTCAGCCTTGAGTGACCAATCCATGAATGGGAACCTCCTTTTCCCACAGCCCATCCTCGGCTGTATGTTTGGCATCAATGACCATTTCATGGATGGGAACCAAGAGTCAGGTATGCGGTGTGTCCAGGTACTACGCAGCCACAGACGATAACCTTCTCAAGTTGAAGTTGTAGACTGGTGAACAGAGCTGTATGCAAGTGGGGTCTGAACCTTCTAGTCCAGGGCATTTAAGCCAGTTGAGGTCGAGAGGCCAGCTCTGGACTTGGAGGCGAGGTCAGTGGCGTTTAGTAGTGGTGACGGCGTGAGGTCAACGAACCAAGTCCTCGCTGGCCACCGGGGTGCGACCAAAGTCAGATCAAGGTTCTGTGTCGATCTGATCTTCTGGATGACCCTTGGAGGGAGTACAGGTGGCGGAAAAGCGTACGCTCTTAGTCCTTCCCAGCGGACGCTGAAGGCATCGACTGCCCAAGCAGTCGGTATCTGTAGGTCGGTATCTGGTAGTTCTGGCAGGTGGCAAATAGGTCTATGTTGGGGAGACCGTGGTCTCGACACGCAAGAGTGAAGGCGTCTGGGTGGAGCTTCCAGTCTGTGGTGATCCGGGAGGACGATGGATACGGTGGTGTCCTGGCGTCTGATGTAGGGAGCCAGGAACATCTGAACTGGGTGCAGTTGGAGTCTTCCTCTGTATGTCAAGTCCTGCACTGAGGTTAGGAGGTCTAGGACTTGCATCTGGCGCAGAGTGCGTGGTAGGTGAAGGGCTGGGATCAGGTGCAATTGCATGTGCTCCCACCGGTCCCTGGGTATAGAGAAGAGGTTGAGGTGCGTCTGGAAGAGGCCCCCGATGAACTGAAGGCGATTTGAGGGTGTCAACTCTGACTTCCTGAGGTTGATCTTCCACCCCAACTGGTACAGTAGCCGGAGGGTGAAGTCCCTGTGGCGAAGTAGAGTGACAATGTCCCAATGATTCAGGAGGCAGTCGTCTATGTATGCCTGGAACTGAATGTTCCGGAGATGGAGGTATGAGGCTTTCGGCTTGGTAAGCTGTGTGAATAGCCACGGGGACGAAGAAATTCTAATTGGTATTTCCACTGCCCATTGGTAATGGACTCCCATGAAGATGAATTGGAGGAATTTCCAGTCATCTGGATGTATTGGACATGTAGGTAGGCGTCCTCCATATCCAGGCTTATGAGCACATGCTGTGCCTGGATCCGGGATCACAGCAGCCTGAGCGTGGTCATCTTGAAGTAAGGTGGACGCGCCAGGTAGCGTTTGTTGAAAGCGGCCAGGTTGTGAATCATCCTGTGTTTGTCTGAGTCCTTCTTTGGGACAAGGAAGATGGGTGTTATGGCTGGGTTGTGTATGACCTCTATTGCTTTCTTGTCCAGCAGCCCCGAGATGTTCTGTCCTAGTAGCTGCTGTTGAGTAAGGGGTAGGTGTCCACTATAGGCAACAATGTGAGAGGCGGGTTGTCTCTAAGCGCCAGTTTGAACCCGTGTCAGAGGATGTTGGTGACATATGATATTTGCACAGGTAACTGAAGAGACAGGGCTATGGATTGTTTTAAAAGCACAAAAAATGTTCGCAAGCAGCTTAACTTAAGCTGTAGTGGATTTAGGATATCATAAACCCGACAAAAGTGAGTGTGTAAGATTTTACATTGCTTTTAGCAATATTCCAGCAATATCTGGGACACTTTAAATCGGCTTCACACATTTTACTAATGTTGGGAATTGAACACAGTTCTTTGGCTTGATGAGCTCATGCTTTAACCACTTGGCCCCACCGCCCCTAGCCCTTCAGTAAGAGGAAATGATGAGGGTAAATTTATTGTGTTTGTGATCAGAAAAATGATTAACGATATAACCAATTTGCACAATGATTTTCTTAATCAAAAATAGAATCTTGCATCATTAGGCCAGGCCAATTCATGTACTTATAATATACATTTTTGTCTTAAAATAATCAAGATACTGTGCTTGATAGAACAAATGCTCTAAAACTATTTCTTTGTATTTTCTTTTCTATGTATTTTTGCTTATGAAAGCAACCACAGATTTCATCTCCTGTCTCTTGCAATGTTAAGCAAAACAACCCAAAAAACAAGAACACAAATTGGTCAGTCCTTACACTAAGTAATAAATACAGTTGCCAGACTGACAACCATGCTGTGCCCACAAGAATTCACAAAGGATCACACAAACAGTAACAAATAGTTCACACATACATAAAATTCTCCACAATGGCATTTACAAACTTAACGATGCCAAACAAGAACCTTGACAATGTGTACTCATATATAATACACTACATGTACACACAAAATGATTTACAGATAGGCTCAAGAAATTCCATCAAATTCCAAATTGGGTTAGAAAAGAATGCAATAAATTGCTGCACTGACAACTTTAGTCTACAGAGTTCACAGTGCCATGCCATGTCAGCGGAAGTTATGGTGGGAATCAGAGCCAGTTGTAAATCATAACCCTTCTTGTTCTTGCTGATCTTGGGTAGATGTATCAATTATGCATACATCACAATTATTACAGAAAGGGATCTATTGTGTTCCATGTTAAGGCCATGAGGAAATCCCCCCTCTTGTACTGGGAGCTTATCAAATATTCATCACCTCATTGCTGTGAGTTCATTCATAATGGAAAAGTCTTAAAGGTGGAAATTAGCTGAAATAGCGTTTACATGATGAAAACTTTCATATTAGGCCAGGCCATTTTTTCTCTCTAGTATGATGGATTCTTGGGACCAAATACGCTGAATTGAGAAGGGAAAATATTTTTAGAAAAGCCCAGATTAATAAAAAAAAATTTTGCATTATAGATTTATGGGACCAAATTGTTTGGATGGATGTAGACAGAAAAGGGACCTTGAAAATGTTAAATATTTCCTGACTAATGGAGTAACTGCAGTTAAGAAACCATGTTAAACTTGATGTAGCAGTAAATCAGACAGACAGGGAATGTGGTAATCGCTGACAAGTCACCAACTGTGTCAGTAAGCTTCATTTCAGCTAATTTCTTAATTACAAAGATGTTCTGCTCTGTCACTGTTGAAGTAAAGCACTTTTTCGACATTGTGCAAAACCCTACCAGAAACGCCAAAAATAACAAATTCACAAACTACAACCAGCCTCGACTAGGCACCATTATCAGTTATAAAAAAATGTGCATATGACAGTAATCAGCAAAAAGTGAATTGATTGGCAGAGATCAGCAGTCATCCAAAGAAGTTATTTACATTTCTGTAATGTAAGGGACAATTGCAGAAGAGTTGCTTCCCTTCCACTGAGAGGTCCATCGATATCTTAGTGTTGTCTGTGATTTATGAAAAATAGAATAAATCTTAATTTTTCATTATTCTCGAAATCAGGGAAAAATCAGTTAGGCAGATACGTAAATCAAGAAAACAAAAGAGTTTAATATTACCTGATCAACTTGAAATCATTTGAGAGAATACTTCGATCAAATATCAATCAATCACTAATCAACTGATGAGCAATTATGGACCTATGAGTAAGGATCAGAACCACCATAATTCAAAGTGAGTGAGTGAGTTTTGTGCATGTATTATAATTTAATGAGAGAGGAACGCTCTAAGCAGTATTACAGTAAAAATGGGTGTCTATTTTGAAACAACCATGGGGTACTGGAGACCATTTCTGGAGTTGAGTTGCACATATTGTAACTTTCCATTATTTTCAGTTAATTTAACCTCATAACATGGATTAGAATCACATCATTTTTCTTGATCAAAACTAATTTTACTCTGGTCCAGACTAGTCTTGGGCTGTGTTTGATAAAAAATATGCTGATAAATATAATTATGAATCAAATAGAGCCACAAGGCTATGTAGCTCACCTGACGTTTGAAGAAATAATTTTATGACACTTCAACCATCTCAATGATATCTTGGTACTTGACTTTCGTTTAGGTGGGCTAACTAAACATTGTTGCTTAAATAATGCGAACATTACATTTTTAAAATTTAGCAATAACCTGCTATGCTGACTGAGAAAACCTGCTATAAGACAAGAAATTAAATTGGTCTTGAGTTCTTCTCATATACTAAATTCGATTAACTTAAGATTGATACAGATAACATCATTGAAAACATGCTGACTTATCTAGTCTCAGTGCATGATCAATGGGCTACCATACCTCCAGTGCAGACAATTGCCAGACTGATTTTATCGGTACACTTGAACAATTACCTGACTAAAACAAGATAAACACACAGACAATCACATGCTTTGCTGGATATCTTGGTTGAGTCAGATTCAATTTGGTTTCTCATCAAAGAAACTGAAGGTAAAGGTAAAAATGAAAAGTCATGCGCTAATGCTTATATATTCCTTTTGTTATGGCTCGATAGGAGCATTGGCAATCACATAACACAGGGTTCAGTGAATTAGGAATGATCTCTAAAA